GATGAAAAAGGACTTGGGGTGGAGCACGATACTTGTTAGAATTCATTCAGCATTTCTCAAGGTCTTCCTCCTTCTCTCACCTTACTTTTCCTTTCTCCCACAAACCTTTGGCTGAGGAATCGAATCAAGGCAGTTTGCAGATACTGCACTGCGAAATCCCGGGTCAAAACACATGTGAGGCAAGGGATGTTGCAGTTGCTGCTGTTGTTATTGTTATTGTGTTATTGATCAACTTGGAACAGCAACATGCAGCTAAGTTCCTATGGCAGTGGCAATCAGTCATTTTACATGTGTTTCCCTGTCATAGGCGCGACAAGTATGAGCGAAACATCAGGGAATTCTGGGTCGATGTGGCCACAACTGGGGCATTCGAGCGAGAGAATGAAGAAACGTTGTGTGACAAGACCGGAGCTGAGGGAACTGCTGTCTCCTTTGACCTTGGGCTCCCTGCTGAGCAGCCTCAGGTTGATGACAGAGGCCCACCCTCCGATCCTGACGATTCAGATGCTGAGGTTGGCTCAGGCAACGAAGATGACAGCGATCGCTCAACCAGAACCAAAGTGCCCCGTCCGGGTGACGTGCAAGAGGAGTCTGTCTTTGAGGCCCATCCCAACCAAACAGCATGGATGTTGTGCTTCAATCAACGCAAATGTATCACTGATGGAACCCCTTCAGCATCAACATCAATCATCAGGCCCACGAGAACATCCCAGAGGTTGTCAACAACTTGCTGCGTGTGCAGGGCCGGACGGATACACTTTATGAGAAGGTTTCAGCGGTGAGCAGTAATGAAGCCCAGGAGTAGCTTGACTCACCAGCAATCTGAACTTATTATACTCAACACCCGGTCCAAACATTTTCGATCAACATTCATGAGCTCACAAGTTCGTTATAGTTATCTGGCCCTGAATTAAGGAGCCTGAAGAAGGTAGACAAGTACCGCTCAACCCTCGGAAACCTACATGATGAGCTGGCTGATTTGAAGTCTTACTTTGATGGACACATCAAAGCATGCAGTGAAGATGAGAAGTTTGACAAAGCGAATCTAATCAGCATGTTGAGATAAAACCACAATCTTCATAAATATAATGTCAACCCGGATTCATAAACCATGGTTTATTAATTGGGGGGATACTCCTCCAATAGTCATAATCTAATACTTAAAAGGTACCTTCCCAATGAAACAGCCTAGGGGTTTATTAATCCAGGGTTGACATTAAATAAACAATTATATATATATATATATATATTTATTTACGTATTACTATGCATAATATATATATATATATACATGTCCCCCACGGCCCCAGTTCTCAAAGTCATCTTGCCTCAACCCAGGAAGGTTGAAGCATTCCACAAAGTCCTGCGCAAGATCGAAACGGAGTACTTGCCCCAGAGCATGTGGCTGACACAGCAATGATGAACAAAAATCAATGAATGACTGACGTTCTTGATCAGGACATCTCGTGCTTTGATGGAGGATACAAAGCTCAAAAAGTCTGCTGCTCATTGTGTTGGAAAGATGTTTTCTCTCGTTGAGCGAATGTCCAGCTCTGGAATGTCAATCTTAAAAAACTTTCTTTGCTCTTCCCTCAGGACCCTGTTGAAGTCAAAGGCAGCCAGCCAGACCTCTTCAAAGCCAAAGGCCAAGGCCAAAGCGAAGTGTAAGGCTGCTCCTCGCAAGCGACCCAGGGGTCAGGAGGAACAGGAGGATGATTGTGAAGAACCAGCTCGAAAGCCCCGCAGAAAGTCCAGAAAGAACAAGTGATTTCAGGAAAGGGTTTGACCAATTGAAGTTTGAATTGCACAATTCAAACTTTTGTGCGAACTATTGTATGGGATTCTTGTCAGGATGCTGGGGACGATTCCTGTACGATGCATCTCTCAAGTAGAGATCTCAGCTTTTCTGCCACGTTTCCATTCTAGCAAGTCATGTCTTTAAATATATACATATATTTATATATATATATACATGAGATTGATGTACCAAGGCCCGACGATTGATGCAGTTCACTTCAGACTTTGGCTGGGGAAGCGTGTGATTCTATACGCTTGTTGTCGTTCCAGCAGGGCTGTCCCAAGCATGGAATTACCATTCACATTCCATCTTTTTCAAACATACAGCTTTGATCGAACCCTGATGAATGAAAGTTTGGGGATCCCTGCAGATAAGAACCGCTTTTGCTGAATCAGCACAATCCTCTTTCTTGAGTTGGCAGCCTGCCTACTGCGAAGCTTTAGATCAATTTCGGGGAAAACTGGAGCGTGAGTCATGGAAACCTCCCAACATTACATGCCATCTCATAACAATTAAAACAGCGGCCTGCCAGTCCCGACCCATGCGCAGGTGCCAGTCCTCCAAGTCGAAGAGAGCCTGGTAAGGCAGCAGGTCCTGCAGCCCGCGCTGTGAGCCAGGCAATTGCTAGGGGAGAATTTTGGCAAAATTAGGGGAGCAGTTTGTTTTCTCCATAGCTTCTTATATCCCCTATTACCCTACAATATGAAATGTAATGGGGTTGCACACTATGACGACCAAATAAATTTCATCTCGTCAGTGATGTTCCTTCTGTGGGTTTGTATTCATTAAAATGCAATTTTTGGTGATGGTTGAGATAAGATAAATCTTATAATCTCGCTGGATCTCGCTGGACTCTTCAAAATCCAAGGTTTCTGAGAAGGAAGCTTGCAATTTGGTGCGTGCTTTTTGGGAAGAGTTTCAACCCTGTCTAAGACATGATGCCTCTCTTGCCAGCCGAGATTTTTGTAAGCTTGCCACGCGGTTGGCCACTACAGGACATGAAAACAGATTGTCCAGTCACCTTGCAAGTTTTGACCTATCCACTGACATCCCCGTGACTTATTTGGATGTTGGGCTTGCTCACCCCCACCCAACTTTGGCAGTGGCTGACTTTGTGAAAGCATTGGATGTTCACAAAAAGATTGACGCTTTGCTGTTTGGCAACAGGGTGCCACAGTATGAAGACTTCTGGCGGCAATGGAAACAGATCCAGCCAAATCACCCCATATACGAGCTACATCGTGAGAATTTGGGATATTGCATCCCTGTTGCCATCCATGCTGATGAAGGCACTTCAGTTAAAAAAAAGCCTTAATGGTTCTGGCGGTGCAGCCGCTGTTGGGTCGTGGAAGTCGCAAACGGAAAGCTGACGCCTGGACTCCTGGATTGAATTTCCTTGGAAACAGTCTGGTAACCAGATTCTTGTTTTCAGTGATGCTAGCAAAGTTATACTCTGGGAAGAAATCCAAAAATGGCCCTCTCTTGGCCTTGGTGAAGCACCTTTGCAAACAACTACGGTCATTGTTCTTACATGGATGTACCGTCAAAATCGATGGTTCAGCACAACACGTATTCCTGGTTCCATTAGCCCTGAAAGGGGACTGGCCAGCATTGGCAAAATTAGGACGGCTTGTGAGACACCACGGACGATTGACCTACAACACGGAAAAGGGGAAAGGTATATGCCACCTCTGTCAGGGAGGCATGGAGGGTCATGCTGAATGGTTTGACACTTCGTACAACACCATGTTGGCAATGCGCGCGGAGTCCCCAGCTCCATGGAACGTGGAACCTGACCTGACTCGGCTGATCCCTATGGACCCTTCCTGCAAAGCGAACTTCCTGAAAATAGACGTGTTCCACACATGCCACAAAGGGTTCTTGGCAGACCTTGCAGCAAATATCATCGTACCTTGTCTTTGGAAATATTGACGAAAAGTCCCGTAAAATTTTGGTTCCGTTTTTGTTTTTCTATCGATGGCCTGTAGTGGCCTAGCGATGCAGCAGGTGTGCTTCTATGATTACAGCGTTTTTGGGTATCTCTCCTTCGAAGAACATTGCGTTGTTGTCTATGATGCTTTGAAGAGCTTTTGTGGACAAAATTCCTTGCAACTGCATTTGGTGAACTTGACTCGTCAACTGCTTGGCTTTGGCAAATCAAGCGAATATCCTGTAGGGTACTTGGATGTAATTATTACCTTCTGTTTTTGGTGGTGGCTGATTTTTGTTTTGCCCACTCCCCGTAAGATTGGGTTTTGCTTGGCGCAGGCTTTGCATCATTTTGCCGAGGAATTGGTTCAAGGGTGCTGACACAGTATCCATTCTCCTGTTTTTGGAACATACACTTCAAGACAAACTTGACACCTTTACGGATGAAGACACCAAGAAGTTGTTCGAGTTGTGTCTCGTGGCTACATCATCAGCCAACAAATTCATGAAGACTTTGTACAATGCTGGATTTTGGCTCTCATTTTCCGAACGACAGGACCTTATTTCTCATGGCCACAGACTGCTCAATGCTTTCAATTCTTGCGCAGACCTGTGCTATTGGGCAGACCTAACGCGGTTCAAACTGCAACCTAAACAGCACATGTTTGGGGAGCTGATGTTTGAAATTGAATTTCACCATCGACATAAGTGGCCGACTCCCAACCCACTAGCCTACAGCACACAAATGGATGAAGACTTCGTGGGGAGAATTTGCGTATTTTCACGAAAAGTTTCAATTCGCTCAATTCATTCTAGAACTTTGAGTCGATATCAAATTGCCTTAAGGGCATTGCTGTAATATCTTTGTTTTCTCTGGCAACCTGGCCCCAGCGAGCCAGCAGTCCTCACCAGCTCCATGTTGAAGTGCAAGTCCCGGATCGAAAAGCGGTGGTCCGAAAAGAGCTCTATCATACTTGGGATGGAATGGGTGTTGCATGGATTGATTTAAAATCAAAATAGTGGATTCCACATGGGGCTTTACATGTCCTCACATGTCACAACATGATTCTATCCACATGGAGCCCAAAGCTAACTCAAACAGCTGGCATGTCAAAACAACTGAAATTTGCAGTGACCATGATTTCGGGCGCTTCAGCCCAGTGCCCAAAAATTTGAGCACTTGGTTTTCTAGGTATATATAATTATATATAGAGGCAAAACTATGATCCAAACTATAGTGCGCAAACTACTTTTGCCATCTTTGGCCTCTGTAATGCAGCTGGTGCCCATGATTTCTATGGTCGCAGCCATCCGTGCGACAGGTCACCTATGCCAAGCAATGGACCAGTGTCTCTCGGATGCGATAAGGAAGTGATGCGGAATACAGGAAATTTTACAAAAAATAAACGCATTGCTTAGTGTATTTCAGGTGGTTAATTAATTTCACTACTCGGCCACAAATAGTTCACTATTTGGTAAGTTCAGTTGGTTTATTTGTTAGCTAAATTCAGTTTATTTCACAAATATTGTAGTGTTGGGTGTCTGGTAGATATATCTATAGTTAAGCGGGGTAATAAACCAACTGAAAGTATAGCTGCACCACAACCCCCAGTTTACTAATCGGGAGGATACGCATTTCAGTAGGAATTGAGTTCACAATTTTCCCATGGCAAAACCCCCAGGGATTGACATGAACCTTTCAAAGTAAAGAATGTGTTAAGCAACTGAAACGACTATAGATGATTGGACCCTTGATTAACTGGGTAAACCTTGAGCAGATTTGTTTTATTTGAAGAACATGCCGTAGATTGGGATGCGTGCAGTATACATTATGTAAGACCGGTTAGAAAGAAAAGCTTACTGTACAGGGCATCCGGGATTCACCATCGTATTGTGCACTATGGGACGGACATGTGCTCATGTAGGAGTGATTATGACCCATGTGTGGTACAAGAAAACCACAATATGGGAACCATGGCAGTAAGTTCATATGGAATATGTACATAGAAGCAATCCAAGTCGCTCTTGCAGGAAAGTTTTGGAAGTCTATTTGCCAAGCCGTCCCAATTTATGGCCACTTTAACGGGACAAATATGATCAAAGTATTTCAATAAATTGGATCATCATCAAAACTAGGAGAAAACATTGGGAACATTGATAGCATAATTCTGACGTCTATTCCAAGACGCCATTAGATTCATTCGATTTATGTATTTATTAAAAACAAATCAGGCCATTAACAGTCATAACCCACGGGGTTTTGATGGATTTGGATGTTTTTCGGGGTTCCTTTTTGTTGGGCAAATCCCTCCAAGGGGTCCCGTGTTGACCGCAAACTCAGGACCATTCTGCCGCAGATGTTTCGCCCGGCTTGAGATGCTTGGGAGACCGCTTGGGCGGCCCGGTGGCTTTCGACAGGCGAAAAGCGAACAAAAACTGAGATGGATAACTGGATAGCTAGGTCAATCTTAGATACTTTAATATCTATACATATAGCTACCTTCTGGTGCAACTCTTTGAGAAGGACCTGGGTTTAAGATCGGAAATCGGGGAACCCCCCCAAAAAAATCCCAACATATAATGCTCACGGATTATGATTATCATCAATGATTTTGTTATTTGTTTTAAGAAGGGGGATTTTATTTTTGGTCAAAACCACATGAGCTTCCGGCTTCCGTGAAAAAGTATGTTTGCCAAAGTGCTGGTTGCTGCTCAAGCCGAAAATGCTCAAGGTGAAATAAGGGCGCTGTTGGAGGGCTACCTTGCCAAACAGATTAACTACAGTAGAATATTGTATAAATTTTATCTGGTTGGTGGTTTGGAACATTTGGATGATTTTCCCCAATAGTTGGGATGCTGATCCAATCTGACTTTCATATTTTTCAGGGGGTTTGAAACCACCTATAAACTTTATTATCCCAAGGTTCCACGGTGGTTTTTGAATACTTAAAGCTTCTAAAAAAGCTGGATTCCAACAAACATACGCTTCAACAGATTTCAAGCACATAATTTGACACCCCCTACTTCTGCAGTACCTCACCGTTCTTGCGGCAACGGCTGGTCCTCCAATTTCAGCAGAATTCGCTAACGTCGCGATGCGCAACATTGAATCTCCATGCTCGTCGGACTGCGGCAATGGCAAGCGCTTGGCTGGCGAACATGATGAATCGCATGCGGGTTTGTCCCATATGGTGGTTTCCTAAGTCATGGGGGATCCCCCAGTTCTCATCCATTTGAGCTTGGGATTTTCCATTGTAAACCATCCAGCTATTGGGGTACCCCCATTTATGGAAACCTCCATATACATGTAGGGAACTCTGCCAGGTGGTCCATATGGTCAGGGGGGATACCAAGCAGTTCCAGCCGCTGGCACAAGCGCTTGCAGCCGTCGCGGGACCAAAGCTATGTCGAAGCTGGAAAAGATCTGGAGGGCTGAGAGAATGATGTGGAGTCACCTCGTTTGGGGGGTTCCTGAAATAGGGGTACCTCCAAATCATCCATTTTAATGCTGGTTGGTGGTTTGGAACATTTTTAGTTTTTCCATCTATTGGGAATAATGATCCCAAGTGACTAATATTTTCCAGGGGGGTTGAAACCACCAATTAGTAATATTGGTATTTTCTATCATAAACCATCCAGCGCTGGGGGTACCTCCATTTCGGAAAACCGTCATTTGGATCTACAGGATGAATTTGTCGCTAGACTGCGAGGTGGTGTAACCCCGAAGGATAGCGAAGTTGGTGCGAAGTTCACGTTCAGTGAAATCTATGTTATGGTAGAACTTATATAATGGTAATTATCATGTGATATTAGTATATGTTGGTATAAACCAACTTATAACTGGTTGGTGGTTTCAAACATTGTTTATTTTCCATTTCATATCTGGGATGTCGTCCTTCCCATTGACGAACTCATATTTTTCAAGATGTTTTTTTTGTTAACCACCAACCAGCTATGGTTTATGGTAGAAGTTAATGGCAATTCTAAACCAACAAACATCACTGGGGGGACACTACCTTGTAGGATAGAAAAGGGTCAATTTGCCAGTATCCTACTAATTAGGATTGTTTTATCTTTTTGATCTTTTTGGAGGTTGCGATAGGTCAAGTTTTGAAAAGTTGGATTTTCTTCATGTGAATTGAAAAGAATAGTTTTGGGGATCTTTGGGGTTTAATATGGACCCATCCAATCACGTGTCGATTTGAACAAAACGCTTGAGGGTTGTTATCTTAGAAGCTGCACATTTACAAGAATGGACAGACATACTTTTACAGGGATTCCGTGAAGCCAACATTCCAAACAGATGTTTAGATCCTCGGATAAACATCATAAACATATGTTTGGAATGTTGGATCATAGATGCTGTCCATTCTGTTGGCACGCTAATGTTGATGTTTGGATTCGTTTGAAGACAATGAGGAGAGACGACCTGATCCAACATGCTAGTTGGTCCTCGATCAGACATGATGGAGACCCATCGATGGCTGCACAAGAGCCGCCCACTTCTCGTTTTCGTAACTCTGGTAAACTAACATAGCTATTGAAAATCACCATTTTCAATGGGAAAATCCACTATAAATGGCCATTTTCAATAGCTATGTTAAATTACCAGAGGGTACACATCCCAGAAAAGGTTGACACATCCAATTTTCTGTGGTCAAATTCCGTTCGTTTCCGGTCGATTCTTTTGGAACAACTCATTTTCAGTGCTATGTAGGCTATGCTGTTTATGTCGATGCTATAAACATTGCCCAGATGCTTTATGTATCGAATATTGACCAATGTTTAGCCTAAAAATCACCAAAACAATGTGGCCAAAAAAAATACCCTCTGGTAATTTAACATAGCTATTGAAAATGGCCATTTATAGTGGATTTTCCCATTGAAAATGGTGATTTTCAATAGCTATGTTAGTTTACCAGAGGGTAATTGGAAAATCTACGAAAATCACCACGAAATCTGCCTTTTTGGCTCCGACACCAGGCCGATTCCCCACCCGAAGGCCCAATGGGCAATGATGGCGTTGCGCTGTGCATGGTTGTTGCTGTGGCCAAGCTCGGTGGTAGGCCAGAGGGGGTTGTGAGATGATTTTGTTTGCAGGATTTTTCAGATTTGAAGATGGTTTTAACTTTTGACTACCCTCTGGTAATTTAACATAGCTATTGAAACTCACCATATTTAATAGGTATATCGACTATGAATGGCAATGTTCAATAGCTATGTTAGTTTACCAGAGGGTAACATGTTTTCGGTGTTTTCAGTGGCCGAATTCCTTAGATGTTGAAGAACATGGTAGAAGTTTGTGCTTGGGGATTGTCCATCCAGGATTTGTTCAGGGTGGTTTTAGCCAGAATGCGGCCAGAAGAATAGGTTGAGAATACAGCCAGAGGTATATTGCATATCATTTTATATCATATATCCAATTGCATTGAAATTCCCCAAAAGCAATAGATTGTTTAATTTTTGAAGGATACTCATGGACAATCTAGAAGGAAACCATGGTCTCCACCTGAAATATAAGATGTTCCTGCAGATGTTTCCTTAGAGTAACCACCAAAAAGATAGAACACTACTTTTAGTAGGGTTTTACTTTCCTATCTTGTTTTGGTGGTTGCTATATAAACCATTCCAGGAATTTTCATGCGTGGTACAGGATGGGTGTCCCCCAGTGATCTTCGTTGGTTTATAAACCCCGTTTTAACCAGTTCGTTATATCTACTATAAACATCCATAAACCATAGCTGTTTGGTGGTTTGGAACATTTTTTATTTTTCCATTCAGTTGGGAATTTAATCATCCCAACTGACGAACTCCATCATTTTTCAGAGGGGTAGGTTGAAACCACCAGATAGAATTCAGCCACAGCCATATTCCACAGCCACGCTATCGACTGGGTGCCCCATCCTGTAAGATCCCTCGCCAGGTCAGCTTCTGCTGGGTTTGTCGCTGACCAAGACGGGCCCAAGTCATGAGGTCCTGAAGGCGCAGCTCATCGAACAGTCCTTGGAGCCTCTTGGTGGATTTTTTTCCGGATTCTGCACCTCTGCACCATGGTATTTTAAGATATTTTAAGCCTTGTAAGTTGGAATAAAACCATTTTTGAAGGCCATAGAAAACTATACTGACTATACCTATGGCCTATGAATATATAATGTCATCCACTTACAAGGTGAATTCCATGGTTTATGGTAAGGCTACAAGACACCCCTCTTTCACTGGATTGGTTTACAGAGAAGACATACACAAAACCATGGTGTTCCCCATCAATTTTTTGGGGATTGCTGATGACTGTTGGTTCGTGATTAATCCCATCCCCTGGTTTAGCATCGAATCTAGTCATGTTGAGGGCCCATATGGGGGTATTTCATAATAGGGGAAAGGGATTATAGGGGGCTAATGAGTCATATTGTTGAACTATACCCAATATATTCATATAATTTCATATATATATATATATATGTATATATATATGCAACTATGGGAATTCCGTTCTTGACCAACATTGGTAAAATGGAGTGGTCCATATGTGCGGTCGTCAAAACATTGGTACATTGATGTAAACTGCCCATATTGAGGGATGATCAGGATGGTCATTAACCCATTTAAGCATAGGCATGTGTACATTTATTCATACGAATTCCCCTCGTATGGGATCTCGGAGCTAACTAGGTAACTACTTGGTGGCTCATCCCACGGCTCGTAAGTGGGTTATAACCCCAGTTGTAAATGGGATAAGTAGGGTTAATCCACTTATAATTGGGGTTACAACTCACTTACGAGCCGTGGGATGAAGCACCAAGTAGCTTAGAAATGGTGGATGTGTATCTGCAGTTTGCATTTAGATAGGGTTTGTACACCGAGTTTCTGAGAGGCTGGATGTCCTAGTAGGTTTAGCCTAGTAATTACTAGACAGGGTAGCATGGATAGATCATTGGTAGCACAATATCAGAACTCATGTTTCGCCATTTTGATCGCTATATCGGTACTATATCGGGATACATATATATATATATATTAACCTAACCAGCTTGAAGAAAAAACTATCAGCGGCTGGGTATCAAAGTTTGGCCATGTCACCACGGTTTGACCAGAGACGACCATGGCATGCTGCAAGATCCAAAAAACACATCTCAGATAGGGATCCTCCAGCCGCTGGTACCCTCAAGCTGGCTGATTTTCCCGGTTGTGCCCCCCCAGTGATGTTTGTTGGTTTTGAAAGCATAGTTGGCGTATTGATATATCTACCATAAACCATATATATATATCATATAGTTATAAATGGGTTCATAAACCCCATTAACTATAGTTATGATAGATAATTGACTATCATCAACCAAAGTGATTTTTGTATGAAATGGTCTACCATAAACTATAGTTATATGGACTTATAAGCCCCATAAAACCTAGGTGATTTCACTTCTAAACGCACCAACTTGGCGATTCCGTGGCCTGGTGCCCCTACCGAGGTTGGTGGTCTCCAGGGCCAACGAGAATGCCTTCACCCCCAACGGCTTCCAGGATCATCGTGGCAATCCCATCCAATTCGCCCCTGGGCTCGGATTCATGGAAAATGGCCATAGAAATAGCTGATTTAGCCATTGAAAATAGTGATTTTCCATAGTGATGTTGGTTTACCAGTGGATTTTCATGGTGATTTTTATGGTGATTTTAATGGTGATTTTAATGGTGATTTAATGGGATTTACTGGTAATTTAATGGGATTTATGATGATTTAATGGGATTTACCCGGCCTGGTAAACGTTTACAGTTTGCGAACTTGAGAATGGCCCAGTCGAAATAGTTGATTTACCCAGCTATAAAATGGTGGATCTTTCCATAGTTATGTAAACGTTTACCAGTGGTTATCCAAGTAGGAAAAAGCCACAGGAAAAGGGAGCTATATGACAAATCCTTGCAAGGGGTATGCATAATTTCAGAAGCCAGAAATTGATACAAATTGGAGATACGACAGTATTATCAGTCTTGACTTTTTTAATTGTGGTTTCGTCGTGAAAGGTCAGAAGTGTCAGAACTGTCAACGATTGGAAATGATGACTTTGCCCAAGAATCTGTTGAAGAGAGGATCTGCGGGGAGCAGTGTTCAAAACCCCCTGTTGGTTGATAAAGTTTTACCATCCAATATGGGGGATTATCACAATCCATGATGGGAACTCCTATTACCCTCTGGTAGACTAACATAACTATGGAATATCACCATTTTTTTTATGGGAAAATCAACTATAAATTGTCATTTTCAGTAGCTGTGCTAGTTTACCAGAGGGTAACCAGCCATTGTATTCCTTTAAATGCAAACCAACCCAACAAGTTTGGGTTTTGCAAACAAATCTCATGGATATGAGGGTGTGGTTCAAGGCCAAGGGTTGTGAAAGACCTACATGGTTGTGGTCTTAGTAAACTACTTACATATATCAGATATATCAGTTATAAACCGACTTGTCTAACATAAATCAAACACATCTATATCAAACATACCCAACTGGTTTATAACTGGTTTATAACTGGCTTATAACTGGTTTATAACTGATATATATATATATAGATCATCATATACCTATAAACATATATAGAATATATTTTTTGTTATCCCCATGTTTGGTTAAAATCCCCATTTCAGCAGCAAGTTATGCCACCATCTCCCCCGGCTTTGGCTGCTCCCAGGGATTGCGAGTCTTTGACGATGAAGGAAATGCCACCAAGGTGAGGATGGCGATACAAAATGGATATGACATATGGATGAGTAATGGATAAGTAATCTCCAATGAATATATGTAATTAATAGATATATATATATATGCAATAGTAGGTAGAGATGAATTACTGTATCAAACATATAATGGATGAGTAATGGATGTTAATGGATGAATATGGACAATATCAGTGGATACTTAATGGATAAGTAATGTGGAGAATATGGATATGGATAAGTAATCTCCAATGAATATATGTAATATGGATGAGTAATGGATACCCTCTGGGAATGACTAACATAGCTATTGAAAATGGCCATAGAAATGGTGGATTTACCCAGCTATAAAATGGTGGATCTTTCCATAGCTAGGTTAAATTACCAGAGGGTAAGTAATCTCCAACGAATATATGTAATAGATATATGTAATAGTAGTTAGAGATGAATTATCAAACATATACTTAGTGGAAAAGTAATGGATAAGTAATCTCGTGTGGATATCCAATGGATACAGTAAGTCTATCGATACTATGAATACTCTGAATATCTATGGAATACTATCCATATAGGATATACTGTAATAATATCTTACATATAACAATGGATAAGTAATCTCCAATGAATATATATATATATATATATTTACAACTAGTTTCCAATGAATGGTAGTAATGGATACAAATGAATATTTTTAATAAACATAGTGAGTAATGGATATTGCTGGCCTACTACTGGCTAAATATATAATCGATTATTACCGGCTTTTTAACTGGCTAAATAACAGATCATACAATGGATAGTTTTTACTGATAAATCATGGATATTATGTAGTGGACAGTAAATGACAGTACTGGATAACAGTCAATGACACAATGGACATTTGATTATATAGTGAATACCCTCTGCTAATTTAACATAGCTATGGAAAGATCCACCATTTTTCATGGGAAAACCCACTATTTCTATGGCCATTTTCAAGAGCTTTTTGTATGTTTACCAGAGGGTAATTGTGTGCCTGAAAATGCGGTGAACTTTCAGTCATGGCTAATTTAATTTCGAACAAATGATGATTGACCAATGGATTTTTCGGATACCCTCTGGTAATTTAACATAGCTATTGAACATGACCATTTATAGTGGATTTTCCCATTGAAAATGGTGATTTTTCATAGTTATGTTAGTTTACCAGAGGGTATATGTTGAGACAAAGCCATATTTACCCTCTGGTAAACTAACATAACTGTGGAACATCACCATTTTCAAGGGGTAAATCCACGAACTAACTGGGCCATGTTGTTAATTTACCAGAGGGTAAGGGAGTTCATTTGTGGTTCACCCTTGGGGGATATTGAACCGACCCATGGGATTTACCCACATGTTTTTTCGCATGTAGAATCACCACGGATGGGGAATCAACTTAAGCAACACTTTTCGAAGAACATCTGGGGGTTTCCATAGTCATGGGGGGTATCCAAAATTGGTTGGTTTTTTAAAGGGAATATCCATCTATAAATGGTGACCCAAATAGCTGGATGTTTTTTTTTTTTTTATAATGGAAAATCCCAATCTAAAATGGATGAGAACTGGGGGTACCCCTATGACTTAGGAAACCCCTATATTGAACATCAAGGCACATTTTCAGAACGTGCACATCTCTGCGGTCGAAATTCCAAGGAAGTGATGTGGAAAACTTGGTCAAAACAATCGCTGGGATTGATGGAGAAACATCATCCCACTATAGCCATGGTATTTATGGGTGATTCATACTTGGTGGTTCATCCCAGGAATCGTAAGTGGATTATAACCCCAGTTATTTCAGTGAACCTTGCCCCTACTTAGCCCAGTGAAATCACCAGGGGCTTATCACCTACTTACTAAGTGGGGGTGAACCACCAAGTAGCCATGTGGACAAGAGAAACTGGATCTTTTGAATGACGATTTTTGGTGATCCCAGCGCCGGGATTGTCCCAAAAAGTGCGTTTTTTTTTGGTTTCCGGCCCTTCATAGATCTTTATTGGAGCAGTTCTCCCATTATATTTCCGTTATGGGAGCAGTTCAATCTTAGGTACAAACTAATCCTAACTAGTCTTTTGCTATGGGATTATCTACGTTCACCAGCTAAGACTTAGTTCTTTTGGCAGGGTGTCTAAGATTGGCACTGTTAAAAATATCATGGTTGATAGGTTATTAGAAGAAGTTACACTACCTGGTTGCATGGGGAAAAAAAGGGAGACCTTGATTATTAGATGGTTTTTTTCCATGATATGGCAGTGTGTCAAAACCTTGTACCCCTGTAGTTCACATCAAAATAGCTGGTAAATGGATGTTCATTCCCTTAAAAATGGTATTAATAGGTATTGATCCATAGCCATATCCCCATGATGGTTGGATTTCTGCCATTTCTGCCGGTCACTTTACCGCCATTTTGGAGGTGCAAGAGCTGTACCGGGCCATGATCCAAGATCGTAGCTCGGTTAGCTCGGTGGATTCTGGACCGGCATGCGGCACAAATGCTTGGATTACCTGCAATGTGAGGCCCCCCAGTTATAAGTTGGTTTATAAGCCCCAGTAACTATAGTTATAAGTACCATAAACCATAGTTATTGGAGTTATAAACCAATTTAGCTATCTTGGGGGCCTCACATTGTGGGATTGTTTAAGGTGATTTGGCGGATTTTCCCAATAGAAAATCCACCATGACTGGGGAATCGATAGTGAATCTTTTTGATTTTTTGGGGTAAGCAAATGCTTGGATTATGGTTGGATGTATCTACAAGTTCAGTGGAAGCAACAGAACTGGCAAGCCAGAGCCAGGATGGATACCATGCCACAAAATAAGTGTCAAGCTTAGCTGGTGATGCTCACATATTCCATGAAAATTGCAAAGATTGCATTAAAGTCCCCTTTGCTACAGTCGGCCCACTTATTTATCATATTTTGCTTGGTATACAAACCATCTCAAAGTAACATCCCAATGCTGGTTGGGTAAAACCCATGTAAAATCCACATCAAAGCCATTCAAAATATTCAAATTCCAGATTTCTACATAAATCAACCCATCAACCCAAGACAGTCTTCATCAACCTAGATTTGACCCAATTTGACCCTCTGGTTATGTCAAACATAGCTATTGAAAATGACCATAGAAATAGTTCATTTACCCAGCTATAAAATGGTGATTTTCCATAGTTTTTTGTTAACATTTACCATTTTCTAGATAAACATAGTGATGTTGATGTCACCATAGTTGATTTACCCACTAAACATCTATAATCAAATGTCCATTGTGTCATTGATTATTATCCAGGACTGTCATTTACTGTCCACTACATAATACCAGGTTAAACATTTACCAGAGGGTATACCATGGTTTTCCCCATTTTTCTCCCAGGTCACTCCCCACCTCCACCGGAAACCGAGGCTTGGTGGATCTCCTCTTGGGTCCCCAGACGCAGGCCTTGTCCGAAGCCGCCCGGAGCGTGACCACGGCCTTGCAGCGGTGCCCCGAAAGAAATGGGGGATGTGTGGGTCGGTGGGTGGTGGTTTCATGATGGCCCTTGAATAGTTCGAAAATTATGGTGATTTATGGTGATTTCATGGTAATTTATGGTGATTTAAGATTTATGGTGATTTTAATGGTGATTTAATGGGATTTACTGGTAATTTAATGGGATTTACTGGTAATTTAATGGGATTTACTGGTAATTTATATAATATTTTAATAGGATCTACCCTCCAGGAAACTAACATAACTATGGAAAATCACTATTGATTCCCCAGTCATGGTGGATTTTTGATTGGGAAAATCAGCCAAATCACCTTAAACAATCCCATGTACCGTCTGTTAAACATACAAAAAGCGAACTGGAAAGATCCACCATTTTTAATGGGACAATCCACTATTCCTATGGCCATTTTCAATAGCTATGTTAGTTTACCAGAGGGTAAATAGCTCTAAATCGAAGTTAGATTAGTGGAATATCCCTAGAGTTATGGCCCAAGTAACAGTTATGGAATGAAATAACTCCTAAAACTAGTTGGTTATATCATGAAATAAGCCCATAGCAATAACTGTTAAGGGATGTCAATCGTTCATAGTTAGTGACATATAAATGGAAGATGAATGGAGTATTGGTCACAACCATTAACCATTCAGTTATAACCATTAAATCCGAAATTTCTGCTTAATGGTGATATGGAGGTTTCCGTTCAAAATGGGGCGGGGGGTTGCCCTAAATCATCCATGGTGGGGGTACCCCCATTGCAGGAACAAGTAATTTTCTCCGCTATTCATATCATTTTTTAGTATATCACATCACCATTGCGGATACATTCTTTGGTGAACGCATTATTATTTATATCATGCTGATATCTCATGATTTCATATCATTTTCAATGATTCATGTTCAATGATATGATGTCATATAATTTCCAGTGATATGATTTCATAACATTTTCAATGATATCACCACTGTGTTAGGTTTAAGACTCCCATTACTTGGAAATAATGAGACCAACCCATGAATAAACCAAACCATATTTCTTAAATTTGTTTTGCATTTAGTCATTTCTTATACCCTCGTATGAATTAACCTAGACCCTGAACATAGCCATTGTTTAGTGGAAACTAATCTTCCAACCCCTATTTGCCAGGTTCTATGTTAATTTATAATGTTGTTAAAACAATAATAAACCATCCCCCAGTCATCACCATTTTTTTAGGTGGTATGTTTACCCTTCCCAGTCATGGGTGCTTTATGGCATTGTTTTAACCACATTAATATGGTGAAAAACCATATTAAACCATATTAAACCATATTAAACCACATTAAACCCCCATTTTTGATGCTTTTTCCCATGTTTTTGTTGGTGAAAAACCAAGCCACAACTGGGCACCTTATCTCGGGCACAGTCCAGGACCTTGATGCTTTGGTCGCATCACACGATGTCCGTGGACAACTTTCCGCTCCAAGCCGGGCAGCCAGGTGCGGCTGTGCGGTGAACCGAAGACGCTGGGGGGAAACGAGGCGGGTGAAATTTCCATGGTTTTGTCACAGTGGAATCCCAAATCTGGTTGGTGGTTTCAAACATGACTGGATTATTTTTACGATAATATCTGGGATGTCATCCGAAACCCAACTGACGAACTCATATTTTTCAGAGGGGTTGAAACACCCAACTGACGAACTCCATCATTTTTCAGAGGGGTTGAAACCACCAACCAGCCCAGGAAAAGAACTACTTGGGGATGGGTGAAAACCTACGAAATTACCATATGACTGGGATAAACATCAATTCAGCAGCTATTTTGGAGTAAGGTGCCAGGGTTTTGACTCATAGCCATTTGGTTAAACCATGATTGGAACTGGGAATAGCCACGTGAAGCAATTATCCACTAAGTTAGGGAATAAACCAACAGATCTGGACAATTTCACAACCTCACCGGTAGACTTGGCCATAGATGCTGTGCGATTATGAATGAGTCATCCTACAGATGGTGACCATTTCCAGGCTAGGATCAATGGCCATTTCAGGAGCCTAAATTGGAGGTACCTACCATATATAAGGCCTATAGAAGGCCTATGCAAAAGAATATCCCCACAAAATATGGCCTTATATGGTACAGTACCTCCATTTTAGGATCCTGACATTCCCATTGATAGGAGTTATCATAGTTTGCCCAGAATGATGTGGTATTTCCACGCTAGGACAATTGGGAGATAACCCTCAAAATAGTTCAGGATCGGACCTTTTATCAAAAACTGATCTACCACCGACATGACTTTATGCAAGGTGATTTGCAGTGGCCAAACAATGGGCCATCATGCCAAATATCATATATCAAGTTAAGCACATGATTGCGTTTCGGGGGGTTTCTGGGTTTCTGTAATGTCTTCTGGGGGCGTCTTTTTTGCGCCAATGTTCTCATGGTGGCCGTCAGGAACTTTCTCGGTGGCCGTGCCAGTTGAGAACTTGATGGACCAGGGGTGGCTTGCTGATAAGCAGCGATCTTTTTGAGGGGATGAAACCCTAAGAAGGGGAAATTATTGCCTCTATAAATTGAACTTAACTCAAAAGGGGAACTGGTGAACCAGATTTCACCAATACACAGGGAATCACAGGGAGCTTCAAAAGGTCCCTGCAAGAATAGATGGTTAATCAACCCCAGATCGCCCAGAACGGGTGCTGTACTGTGGCTACCAGATCAGCTATGGCCAGTTGGATCAGGGCACCGGAGGGCAACGCCGGGTAGTTGCTGGTGGTTCATCAAGATTTGACTTCACGATCCAACTGCTGCGTTGAGGCCAGGCCCGGAAACGCTCTGCAGGGTGGTGCCCCATAGTTAGCTAAGTTGGTTTGTAAGTCCAATAACTATAGTTTATAGGTGATCTATCTATAGTTAATGGGATTATAACCCATTTATAACTGGGGTGGCACCACCTTGTGGTACACTTCTTCGGAAACGCTGTTGGCATGAAGCAGTTCGAAGAACTTCGATCTTCAGTAAATAAGGTCTGTGGCACTGCGTCAACTTCGGTGACCGCTGCATCACTCCTGGTGCTTTGACGCAGATGCAAAGTCTCTGGTGAAAGCTGAAAGGAGCAAGCGATGATTATTGCAGCCGGCAGCACGACGTGACTAGAAATGATGGGGCTGTACAACCAATTGATAATCCCAAAATAGCCTTGTTTCGCGTGTGTGAATTATGAATTACCCGCCCGATATATCCTAACACTAAATGATTTTCCAGAAACCAAGGTTTTGTTTTGGATCTGATATGACATGTTTGGGCCATTTTATTATATGGATCTATTTTGGTACATTTTTGGTATTTTCTCAATGGCCATTTCAGGAACCGATGTATTGGAGGTACCTACCATATATAAGGCCTATAAGGCCTATGTAAGGGAACATACATGCCCACAAAATATGGCCTTATATGGTACAGTACCTCCATGTACCTCCATTTTAGGATCCTGAAATTCCCATTAACTTTCTAAAAACCAAATCATTTGGGGACAGTTGATACTGAGGAATCCGATTCTGACGGTCTGGTAGGGCCCCGGTAGAGCCTCCTGGGTCATTGCCCCATTGCCGGAACCCACCTTCGAGGAATGTGCGCGGAAGCGTTGGTTGATGAGACCTTAGATTTTCACCTGAGCAGTGTTCAAGACTTGATTATTGAATACTGTAGTATATGGGGTTAGACTAGTTCTATCTACTATAGTTGTACCATCCATATATTCAACAATGAAATGATGAATGAATGTAATTAGTAATTACGGTTTATCTATTGTATCCTGAATTTTATGATCTATCTAAGTCTATCTAGTTGTACTATCCAATACTGGGGATGATCATTGATGATCATAATCTATGCAGTGGGAAATCCGTTCTTAACCAACCAGTTTTTCATTCGGAACCCGGAGCGGTCGTGACTTTCCTCAGTGCATGGGTCACGATCAATGGATTAGTCTTGTTGAGAAAAAATGTAACTGGAATCCATGTTTCTCCTATGAAATATGTTTTTTTGCTGTACATGTTCCCTTAAACCAATCTATTGACACTATCAACCAAAACCATCATGTTTTGCAGTTAAATTTCTCCTGTTTGCTGTTGGTTAAACAGTCATGAACAGGTTAATGCTATGTTTTATGTTTCTCTTGATAAACTGCAACTTTGTGGTGGTTGTAGAGCTAGGTTCATTTTGCTATATCAGTGATCCTCGTCGTTGAATTGTTCACCATGAAATTTGGAAGATTTTGGAAGGCTAACATTGTTAACATTTGGATTTTCCGCCAACCCACTAGTTGCCAGTCGGCACCAGGACACACGTTTGAATATTGGCCCCCAACAATACCCTCTACTCTCCACTGGTACTCTGGGTCGAGAGGACAACCCAATAATTGATAATCCAAAGCCATCATTTTGAAGAGTTATGCAAGCGTGTTTTTTCTGGTTCCCTTTTTTCGCGGTTCAACACAAGGTAGTTCCCCACAGTTATGTTTCATAATCGCCCTTGAACTATAGGTTCACATCTACCAGTGAACCCCAACAGCGATTTAGATGAGTCATGTCTACCAAGTTAGCGATTCCAAACTGGGGCACCAATCTTGAACTATCTTGAACTATAGAATAGTTGATGGTGATCTTTATTTTCCCGATTACATATCATTATTCCATGGTTTTATAACGAACTATGTTCCATAAAAGGTTGTGTCCCATATACTTAGCATTACTTAGCCAATATTATTCACAACTAGGGTTTTTTTTATGGTTTATCATAGGTTTATCGATACTTAAAGAAGCGTATAAACCAACGAGTCCATCCCTGGGGGCCACCCGGCCACCAAGTAACCCAGGCTGCGGATCCTGAAAAGTCTGGGCAGCACGGAAGTTCGGGCCATCGTCGGGACAGCGTGGCGACTTTGTGGGTGACAAGTTCCAGTCACTATGGTGATACCCTCTGGAAAACGTACAAAAAGCTATTGAAAATTGCCCATTTATAGTTGATTTACCTATTAAAAATGGTGATGTTCCATGGTTATGTTAGCTTACCAGAGGATAGTTATAGTAACTATGTGGAATAGTATCTATAGTAACTATGTGATATTTGTAGTGTATTTATAGTGGCTGTCACTACTATCGTGACAAATTCCTAGTTGATAGTAACTTTCTGGAAAAGAAACCTGGACCTTCAAGGGCCCCAAACATGTTGATCTGGATGAGTAGCCCTGTAGCCATAGCCTATGTAACATTTCGGGGTTTCACATTCCGGTTGGTTTGGAACATTTGGATTATTTTTCCATATATTGGGAATGTCATAATCCCAGCTGACGAACTCATATTTTTCAGAGGGGTAGGTATACCACCAACCAGATTATTATCAACCATCATTAACCATATATTATATAACCATTATTAACCATATATTAACCATTGAAATCCCATGAAAAAAAATATTAACCAGTATTAACCATATATTAACCATTGAAATCCCATTAAAACCATTATTAACCATTATTAACCATTATTAACCATATATTAACCATTGAAATCCCATTAAAACCATTATTAACCATTATGAACCATATATTAACCATTGAAATCCCATTAAAACCATTATAACCATTATTAACCATATATTAACCATTGAAATCCCATTATATAAAACCATTATTAACCAAATATTAACCATATATTAACCATTGAAATCCCATTAAAACCATTATTGACCATATATTAACCATATATTAACCATTGAAATCCCATTATTAACCATATATTAACCATAGCATTTGGTCTCTTTTTGTTGGGGGGTCCATCCATGTCCCAAAAAGCACCGAATTTTTCACCGTGCCACGTCCGTCGCACGGGGTGTTTCCACCAGGACGGACCGAATCTCTGAGTTCATGTGCACCAAAGCTATGGAAAGGGCGGAGGTGCGAGCCGGGCTCCGTGCTGGGGATCTGGGATAGAAAATCGCCCAGGTGCTGTCCCCCAAGTGATGTCTATTGGTTTATAATGGTTTACAAAGCCACGAACTAAAGATATATATGATATATCATTGATATATTTTTCTAGCCATAAGATCCCATAAGTTCTGGTGAACTATGAATATGAATATGAAATAGTCAACTTAGCTAACAAATGAACCGCTAGTTATAAACAAAACACAACTTAGATAACACACTGGGGCAACCTTATGGAATTTAGCCGATTTTCAGAATCAGACGTTATCAAATTTGGCATGTAATCTATTAAATCTGGTTGTTGTCTGAAAAAAAACAGATATAATCATAATCAGTTCCTCAGATATCTGATTTCCAATGGTTATTTGCGTGTGGAGCTGGCAGAAGTCGCAAGTGCCAGCGATCTGCGGAGCAGTTGACTCAGCAGACTTATTTAAAAAGGAAGCGGTGAGTTGCCGGACCACATTGAGTAATGTCAACCCTGGTTATTTGTTACATAGCCATGGAAAATCACCATTGTTAATAGGGATATCCCAGAAAATCATCTATATCCATCTATATCCATATATAATAATGTCAACCCTGGATTAATAAACCCCGTTTACGGCTGTTTAATTGGGAGGCTACCATAAAAAAAGTATCAGATGAAATGACTATTGGAGGAGTACCTCCCAAATTAATAAACCATGGTTTATTAATCCGGGGTTTACATTATCATTTTCAATCCCATATGCTCCATGGTGCTGGTATATTTACCTACAAAACTGGCTGATTTTTGGGGCAACTGTTGATAAATATTCCATGGAGCACATGGGAATGGATATCATTTTCCATGATAAAATGCCAGATATCACATGGTTGATGGAACCGACACTTCAGAAATCAGTTCCTCAGGTGATCCTGAAAACCCAATCCAAACCACCCAACGCAAGGTCCAGGACGACCTTGCCTGGGAAATAAAAAAAAGCCTCGGTGGTATCCCCAACAGCCGCAACGTTTCATTCTTATACATCTTTCTGAAGCGTGCTGCGAAGCCACGCGCTGGAAACACCTCAGCTGGGTTTCCGTGAATTAAACGTCCGCAAATCCTGTTGAACTTGACCTGGCTCTGCACCAAAGCCTTCCAGACCTTCTCCGGAACTTTCTCCAGAACCCTGTTGAACCTAACCTGGCTCTGCACCAAAGCCTCCCACACCTTCTCCGGAACCTATTGAAACTGCTCAACTGACCTGGCTCTCAACCAAAGCCTCCCAGACCTTCTCCAGAACCTTCTCCGGAACCCTGTTGAACTTGACCCGGCTCTGCACCAAAGCCTCCCAGACCTTCTCCGGAACCTTTCGCGACCCTCTTGAACCTGACCTGGCTCTGCACCAAACCTCCACACCGGAACCTTGGAATCCGAAACCCTGTTGAACTTGACTTTGCTTTGCACCAAGGCTTCCTGGAACCTTCTCCGGAACCTTCTCCGGAACCCTGTTGAACCTGACCTGACTCTGCACCAACGCCTCCCAGACCTGCTCCGGAACCTTCGGAACCTTCTCCGGAACCTCGTTGAACCTGACCCGGCGCCTGCACCAGTGCACACCGGAGCTATTCTGGGCTGAAGACCCCATTAGCTTACGCTGTTGGGGAAAAACATGGTGAACTCCATAATTATTGACTGATGGAAGGTTATCAAATATCCATATAAACTATAAAATCAAGATTAACCATAGACTTTTACTACAAGCCCAATTTTCAGTGGTTCAATCTGCAGTTTTGCTGCTTAGACCCTAGTTTTTGGTGCTTCAATGGCCATTTGCCAGGCGCTGGGCTATGCTTCGGAGCGCATCATGGCGCAACTTGGCGGAATTATATTTCTGGGTCAACCGTCTGGTACATTCATGCACATAGTATCTAATCTGCATGGTTATATTTAGTATCAACTTGCAAACTGGTTATATAGCTGGTTAGATATAATACTATTTCGTACTTTATTTTTTTGCAATCAAATGATATCAATTGTAATTCATGTGCATTCACCAGCTAAAAATGAGATCGTTTGCCAGGTATCTAAGATTCACCATGATTTGCTGGCGTTGCGTTCGGAAAAATCACCAAGATATGGCCCATGGCCATGGTTAAATCATGTTAAATCATTGAAAATAGGAAATATATGGGGAATATGAGGATGGATTGAGATTATATATAAGCCATGGAAAAGAAAACCCTTTTGTTTTCTGGGAAGCACACCAAAGTACTCAGAACTCCCAATTTGTTCAATCCATTTTACTTGACCAAATCCAATTTTTTGTGAAACCACATCAACAAACCGGGATGCACCACCTTTCATAAGTGATCTCATCATGTCCCCTGACTTTCAAATTAGAATCCACTATGTCGCCATAAGTCTAGAGTTTAATATATATATATATATACACATCACAATTATTGCTGGTTTAAGTCCCAATTGTTCCAATATTCTCATCATTTCCCCATTTCCCCAGCATTTCTCCATGATTTTCCTATGATTCTAGCGGTGGTCAACGCTTTTCGACCATAATTCATATTTTTTGCTATTGAAATCCGGAATTTCATCATGTTTCTTATACCAACTGGATCCGGATACAAGATTTCAGTCGTCTTGGCGGCTTTTTATGGACGTCGATTGCTGAAGAATGATCCTATTTCGGTAGATTGGTGCTGGGACAGGGTGTGTGAACTCAATGGAGCATTGTCGTCAATTTCGGACTTTTCTGAGATTGAGCAATACATTGATCAGAACGATGATGAGTTCGCTTCAAGATTGCTCTTTCGCAATTCAATAAGTGGTAAGCCCATGTCTGAACGCAGGATCAGAGCTGTCATGGATTTTTCTATGGCTGGCAATGCCATTTTTACGAGATGGACTGACCCTGTTATTGGCAGAATGAAAATGACGAGGAGTCCTTTCATGGAGCTTCTTGATCCTCTGTCACATGGCGACAGTATATACAGTGAGTTCTCTGGATTCCGGAAGATTGCGAGAGCCGACGTGTTGAGATGTGATCATCACGTCTTTCACTGGGCTACAAGCAATGTCATTGATATGGCGCTTGACCAGTTTGAGTCATTCCATCCCTCATCAACCTTCATCTCAGGTGACTTGACTGATCCCTATGTGTTGCAACAGTTGCTTCAGCTTGGGGTTTTCCATTGAAAATCACCATTTTCAATGGGTAAATCCACTATAAATGGCCATTTTCCATAGCTATGTTTGTTTACAAGAGGGTAATTCCTCCAAGTGCCGCGGTTCATCGTCCAGATAGCAGGCGGCCGCAGAACAGCTACGAGCTGCTGACACAGATGCAGCGGCGCTTCACGCAACCGCTGGACCGGGCTGGTTCGAGGGCCACTGACGGAAAGGTGGCTTATAACGAGCACAACTGGGGTATACAATGGTAGTGATAGCTATAGTTAGTTGGTATCAATGGTTATAGTTGGTTGGTGTATATGTAGTGAGAACTATAAGTTGGTTAGTTGGTATCCAGTTAGGTGGGGTTATAAGCCAACTGTCAACAGGGGAGTTGATTCACGCGCATGAACTGAATCAAGCATTATGAAGTTGGTTCATGCATGCTCATGCTGGCTATGACATAGTTGGAGGGGGTTTTTAACCAACTCGCAACTGTGGGGACCCACATTGCAACCATTCATTATATCCCCATGTGTTGTTGGTAATCGCAACCATTACCGGGGTTAGTAAGTATCAACCTCAACCACCATTTGCCATTTACCGCAGAGAAAAAAACATATTTTTTACGATTCTGTGTAAATTATAACGACCTCACTACAACCAAACCCTGGAATCATGGTTAATAAGGGGAATCATCCCCAAATAGCCGAACTATTCAGGTTAGTGAAGTATTACAATTTAATCAGACGATTGGTAACAACCGATTAGAATTGGTTGGTGGTTTGTTCTTTCTCTATTTATACATGGGAATAGTAATCCCAACTGACTACATAATATTTTTCAAAGGGGTTAAAACCACCAACCAGATTTATAAACCACTTCATAACATCAACAAAGAGCGGTCCACCTTCGGAACCCCACGGGGATAGGCAACCACCATCGAACTGAATTGGTTATGTTAATGTTGATCTATGTGAATTCGGCGGTGGTTGCCTTTCCATAGATTAAAATCATGTTGAAAAGTTGATCTAGTTAAGGCAACCACCATCATGTTCATTCCTTTTCCCTAGCTATGTTAATCTATGTGAATCTTACCAGGAGGGTTCCAATTCCCATATCATATGCTCCAGCTATATGGTATATTTACCCACAAAACTGGGTGATTGTTAGGGTAAATGTTGATAAACAAATCCATACATGGAGCATGTGGGAACTTCCGGCGCTCTCCCCAGTTGTAAATTGGTGTTTTTGATTGTTTTTGACCCCATGAACTACTACCATATACCATATATCTACCATAAATTCAATGGGAATTTCAGGATACTAAAATGGAGGTACTGTACCATATAAGGCCATATTTTGGAGGGATATTCCCTTACATAGCCCTTACATAGGCCTTATATGTGGTAGGTACCTCCAATTTAGGTTCCTGAGATGGCCAGTGATAAATATCCTGAAACCCTTGATTATTGGAATTATAGGACCAACTTAGGGGGCTCTACTTATTATGAAGTTGCTTTCTGTTTTCTGGGGGTACCCCAATAGATTTTCGACGGTTTTTTTCATGGGAAATCCTAAAATGGATAAGAACTGGAGGTACCCCCCGTTTAGGAAACCTCCACATGGTTTCTACAGATATCTATGTTTGGTGGCTTGGATATCTATAGAATTTTCCCGGTTCATGGATAATCGGATAATCACCAAAGTACCAGTTCGTAGTTCGTATCACTGCCGAACTGTTCATCAACCAAGAGGGATTTCGAACAATGCCCATATGAGTAGCGGGGAAAAATATATTCATCTGGTTGGTGGTTTGGAACATTTGGATTATTTTTTCCCATTCAGTTGGGAATTTCATCATCCCAACTGACGAAGTCCATCATTTTTCAGAGGGTAGGGTTCAACCACCAACCAGCTAAGTAGCTGAGTATGATAATCAATGGGATTAAACCATATTTAAACCATATTTAAACCATATTTAAACCATATTAAACCATATATTTCACTATGGAACCCCCCATAATAACCACCATACATATCTAACACTTCCATAGAAAATTCACGGAGTTCACAGAATCAGCGATTCATCAAACCATCCCCCAGTCATCACCACGAAAGGTGCTATTTTTCACCATTAGTCATGGCTGGTTTATAAAAACATTCCATCCCTGGGAATGGTGAAACCATATACTGGTATTAAAACATTCATACCTTTTCACCATTCCCAGTATACTGGTTTATTTTTCACCATTCCCAGTCATATTGTTTGACCCACAGTATAAAGGATTAAAATCATACTATAGCCTCATGGTTTTTTCTGGCCCAGAACGCGAAGCTATGAAAATGGTGATGACTGGGGGATGGTTTATTACCCATAGGATCCATGGTGCTGGTATATATATATATATATACTAACATGACTGGGGTATATTGATGGGATCCATGTTACCATATATACCAGCACCATGGATCCGTCATGGGTTATATATTGTTTTATCATGTTTTACCCTCTGGTAAACTAACATAACTATGGAAAATCACCATTTTTAATGGGACAACTCACTATAAATGGCCATTTTCAATAGCTATGTTAAATTACCATGTTTTACCCACATAGATTGCTTCACCCAGCAGACCCACCATTGCAACAAATCCGTGCACCTCCGCTCGCTCAGAGCGGAGCCTTTTCAGAGGATGTGCTCTTGACCTGCACCAGCGAAGCGGAGATGTTGAACGTGCCTTGGCTGCGGTGCTTTTTCAAAAGAGTTGAGGATTGATAGGTGAACTAGGTCAATCCTCTAGATAGGTAGAAACTAATCCTAACTAGTCTTTTGGTATCTGTGGGATTATCTACGTTCACCAGCGATTTTGTCATTTTGTCATTTTTTTCCACCAGCGATTATCTACGTTCACCAGCGATTTTGCACTGTGAAGTTTTTGTTAAATCGTGGGGCTTTTTGATGGTTATAGCATGTTACAGCCTAGTATAAAAGATGGGGGAGATAACTGATGGTTGATGGTTGATTGGTTTAGTGGGAGTTAGATTAGTCACGGAATTTAGGGATTCTAAGAAAGACAAGACCAGTTGGTTTGGCAAAGCGTTTTCAACCAACTGGTAATGTGGGATAGGAGTGTTTTGAATGGCTCAGCTGGGATTCGAAGCAATATAGATTAGATGATGGGAGATGCTGGAACATGAATAGATTATACATTGTATATTTTAATGGTCAATGGTGATTTTCCATAGCTATGTTAGTTTATACATATTTATAAATCAATGGGAATTCCAGGATCCAAAAATAGATGGAGGTACGTTAGTACCATATTTTTGGCCATATTTTGGAGGGATATTCCCTGAAATTAAGGCCTGAAAAATAGGCCTTATATATGGTAGGTACCTCCAATTTAGGATCCTGAAATTCCCATTGATTTTATATTTTAATGGAAGATTAGTGAATTATGTGCAGAATATATGTGGATTATCAACGGAATATTAGTGGCTTATTAATGACCTGCGAAAAATTATCAATGGATCGATGTACTATTAATGACATATATTAATTGATCAACATTATTTTACCAACTACGTAACTCAACAATTGTTATTAATGGACTACCAATGATCTGATCTATTATTTATTAACTAAACGGGAGATGATGGAATATTATTCATGGATTATGTATTAATGGAAACATTCATATTGTTGATAGGTAATTATTTATCAATGGAAAATTCATCAGATTACTAATATGTTTCATAGATTAATGGAATATTGATTCATTATCTATGGAACATTGATGAATTACCAATGGAAAATGAATGGATTACCAATGGGACACTCATGGGGTATTATCCTGTGGCAAACATCAGAAAATATGGGAAAAACCCAAGGAATGGAGGATTGTGCGGCACAAATCATCCAAAAATATGGGGAGATTGGTGGAGATTGCATGGGAAACTCGTTCAAAAATGGAGAATCCCTGGAGAAACATGTGGAGAAAAAATCATGTCAGAAAATTGTGCTTTTCACAAGAAATACATCTACGCTCTGGTAAACAAACGTAAAATCCACCATTTAGTATGTAGTTGAGTTCCCAGGGATTTTTCATTCCGAACTAAAGCGTCATCTATAGGCCACAAGGCTTTCCCAGCCGCAGTTGATGACACCATAGCGGCTAGAGATGACAGGAGGTGCCCCAAGACATGAATAAAAAGTATGGCAAGCCTTAAAAAATACGAGAGTAAAATTCTACGAAAGTTTTACAGTGGCAGTTCACCTCTACATTTAGGGAGTATAATTTTTTCCAGCATGAACGTCAAGTTTTGCTGATGCTGAGTTTGGACGGTTTGGTATGTACGATTTTGAGCTGTTTTGAGGCACGGACTTGACAGAGCAACAGTTGAGCTATTCAGTGGAGCAAAAAAAAGGCAGCAGAATTGAAGACCGATAATGAGCTTTGTTAACCCATATGCTCCATGGTGCTGGAATATGTATCAACATTTGCCCCAAAAATCACCCAGTTTTGTAGGTTTTTATATACCAGCACCATGGTTCGCATATGGGTAATGTATGGTTTTATTCATACCCCAAATGGAGCGTTGGCATGTAGGGCTCCAAAAACGATCGAAAAGTCCTTGCCATCTCCAATAAACAACTCACTGCTTGAAGTAGGTTGATAGTCACATCAAATGCATCACCGTATTTTCTGGGCTGTCTTTAGTACCCTGTGGTAAACTATATAACATAGCGAACTGGAAATCACTATACATTTAATAGGTAAATCGTCGAAGTAAATGCTCCATACCTTCGCAAACGCTTAGTTTGCCGATACCTAAATCACTGGCCATGACTCAGGAACCGATTTCTGGGAGGTACCTGCCATATATAAGGCCTATTTTTTCAGGCCTTAATTTCAGGGAAGATCCCTCCAAAATATGGCCAAAAATATGGTACGTTTACGTACCTCCAATCTGTTGGATCCTGGAGATCTCCCATTGACCAAAGGGGAAACGTCAATGGGACGTCGAATCCGACAGGTCGTCATGGTGGCATCGAGGCTGAATGTCTCGGCGCAGGCAAAGTGAAGATCAAGTTGGATTATGTGGTTTCCCAAAATGGAGGTACCCCCTGGTTATGACTAACAGTTTGCTATTGAAAATGGTGATTTATAGTGGATTTACCCATTGAAACTGATGATTTTCTAGTTCGCTGTGTTACTTTACCAGAGGGTACCCCTTATTTTTGGAATGGTTTATGGACTGGAAAGTCCTTCCAAAATGGATGATTATGTGGTAAATGATATCTGAAAACATCTGAGAACCATGATTCCTATTTCCCAATGGTGCATGATGATGTTGGTAAGATATTGATGATATGTTTACCATGACATTTCCTGAGACATCTTTAAGTTAGTTCTTGTAGTATTAAATGATATTGATGTGGTACACAAGGATAAAGATAATTAACGTCCTTCCCCTTAGATGATCCCCCCCGGAAACCATGGTAGTAGGAGATTTTGAAATATGTGGGACCATTTTTGTATTGGATTCATGGAGGTTATAAATAATGTTGCATCCTGATTAGTTGCTAGGTTCGCTATTGTGCCAAGGATTTTCCAAATTACTCTGAACCCCTGCATTGTTTGGAAGGTTCACTATTGTGGCAAGAAATCTTGGGGTGCATGTGTTTTTGTCCAAAAAAATGTATGTGTAAAAAACTCCGAACATTTTTTCTGAAAAAATCTTGCTTTTCTCCCTGCCCCAAAAGAATCAGACTGCTTGAACCCTTATTAAAGAACACTTTTTCCACAAATTTCCAAGGCACTGGGCCATGAGAGGGTCCAATTCACTTTAGTAGGTTTGTTCTCAGGGTTCACAATTGCAGCGAACTTTTCCAGAGCTGATCCTGGAGCCAAGAGAAGAAAGGCAGGCCCTTTCCACAAGCAACTGCCAAATTCAAAGTCCAAACCTTTCCCAAAAGAATCAGGCTGCTTATTAAACCCTTATTAAACAACATTTTTCCACAAATTTCCAAGGCACTGGGCCATGAGAGGGCCCAATTCACTTTAGTAGGTTTGTTCTCAGGGTCACAATTGCAGCAAACTTTTCCAGAGCTGATCCTGGAGCCAAGAGAAGAAAGGTAGGCCTTTTCCACAAGCAATTGCCAAGTTCAAAGTCCAAACCCTTCCCAAAAGAATCAGACCATTATTAGAGAACAGTGTTTCCACAAATTTCCCAGGCCCTGGGCCATGAGAGTGTCCAATTCACTTTAGTAGGTTTGTTCTCAGGGTTCACAATTGCAGCAAACTTTTCCAGAGCTGATCCTGGAGCCAAGAGAAGAAAGGTAGGCCTTTCCCACAAGCAATTGCCAAATTCAAAACCCAAACCTTTCCCAAAAGAATCAGACCGCTTATTAAACCATTATTTAAAAACAGTTTTTCTACAAACTTCCCAGGCAGTGGGCCATGAAAGGGTCCAATTCACTTTAGTAGGTTTGCTCTCAGGGTCCACAATTGCAGCGAACTTTTCCAGAACTGATCATGGAACCAAGAGAAGAAAGAAAAACCTTGTACAAAAACCATTGCCAAGTTCCAAACCCAAACCTTTCCCAAAAAAAACAGACCGCTTGTTAAACCATTATTAAGAGCATTTTTTTCACACATTTCCAAGGCACTGGGCCATGAGAGGGCCCAATTCACTTTAGTAGGTTTGTTCTCAGGGTTCACAATTGCAGCAAACTTTTCCAGAGCTGATCCTGGAACCAAGAGAAGAAAGCAACACCTTTTACAAAAGCAACCGGTTTTTTCTCTTTCCGTTTCTCTTTCCCTTTTTTTTCCTTATGTTTTTTTCTTGTTGTTTCTCCTTTTTTTTCTCTTTTTATTTCTCTTATTAACTTATTGCATGGTTCATTGAGAAACAACTTAAGGTGGAAAAGGTAACGCAATCAACATGCTGAACTCCACTCACTACAAGTATTACAAACACTACAAGTACTACAAGTACTACAAGTACTACAAGTACTACAAGTTCATCGGAAAAAATAGTTAGATTTCAATTGTAGCCAATTGAAATCCTTACTTAAGTGCGTTTTTTTCTGGGACACATTTTTTTGGCGCCCAAAGTTAAAGAGGGTATAGCTATTGTTGGAGGGGGGCCTTACACTAATCAGGACGCAACATTATGAGGTTTTGTATATATCAAAATACTATGTCAATCTTAGATGGGTAGAAACTAATCCTTTAGTCTTTTGGTATCAATGCTATTATCTACGTTTACCAGCAAAAAAACATATTTTTTTTTTGCAGGGTATCTAAGATTGGCACTGGAAAATCCAATATAATCCCATTTAATCCATATAATTTAATCTCATATAATCCATATATTCTAAGATTGGCACTGAATATGTACATATTATATAACCGAAACGTTGGGTGGTGCACCAGTTTGGGATGAAGTCTTGGCCAAAACTCTGGGATCCAACCAGCATGAAGATCAACAATGATCAAGATAGCAAAGTTGTTTTTTTTTGTAATGGTACAAGGTGGTGCCCCATTGTTAGCTAAGTTGGTTTACAAGTCCAATAACTAGGGTTTATGGGGGTTATATCTATAGTTTAACGGGGATTATAAACAAACTTATAACTGGGGGGGCACCACCTTGTAGAATGAATGCTACTTCGCTAATAGTTTTATAGCTAATATAGCTAATTAATTTTACTTAATAGATAGCTATTCATAGAATACTGATATATAGAATTCAGTTGACTATATATAGTTATATATATATAGTCATATAGTATGGTAAACATGAATTTCAATGAATACTATATAACCATTATATGACTCTTATAATACAATTTCCAAGCGGCCATGGGGATCTGACCAGGGATTTCCTTAGGTTTCTGGGAGATTTACCTAGCAAGGTCCTCTGGTTGTGCTGAACTGAGGAAGTTACCGTCTGGTTATTTAACATAGCCATGGAAAATCACCATTTTTAATAGGTAAACCATCTATTTCTATGGGCCATGGCTTCCATGGCTATGTTAAATAACCAGGTCGGGTATTTGAAATGACTCGCCTGTCAATGGACATGACGAAAAGGAACCGATTTCTTGGAGCTACCGATTCCATAGTTTTTTGGCTTATTTTTCAGGCCTAAATTTCAGGGAATATCCCCACAATTCATATGGCCAAAAATATGGTACGTTTACGTACCTCCATTAATTCGGATCCTGAAATAGCCATTGATCAAAAGTCTAAATGGACAGATATTCTTCACCAATAACATGGAGATTTACCTAGCCAGATGTCTTTTTCTCAAGCACTGAACATGTCAGATTCAACTATGTTTCTCGTGTTTTTTTTATGATGAGTTTGTCGAGATGGAATTTATTCATTCAATCGGAACCTAAGCATCAACAATAGGGACCTGTACCCTCTGGTTATAGCTAACATAGCCATGGAAAATGACCTATTTATAGATGGTTTACCTATTAATAGCATGGCGATTTTCTATAGCTATGTTAAATAACCAGAGGGTAATACAGTCAACAAAAATATCATCAGAAAGAGAGCATCTATGAGTCTCATTTGAGCTGTCTCAGGTGCCCAAACTTTGTTTTTGCCAACAGAAATGGCTAAAATCTTCTGGTTCTGAGTCAAGGAGAGCTCAAAAAACAGCTCAAAAAAATGGTTCGAGGCATGTCCGCGCTGCGATGGCACTGGAACAGATACTGCGCACGACAGCGTGATCTCCTTTCGAACCAGAGACTTCTCGATTGTGATACCCTCTGGTTATTTAACATAGCCATGGGACATGGCCCATTTATAGATGGTTTACCTATTAAAAATGGGGATTTTCCATGGCTATGTTAAATAACCAGAGGGTATATATCCTACAATCTCCTACACAAGCCATGTCACAAGACGTTGCGTTCGAGATCGATTCTTGGCCTCTAAATCAACTGTTTCCTCAGATTTCTACAGGAAGTGAAGTGGTGCTCCACAAGCGGTGTTGCAGATCCGGCATCCAGAGCGTTTCCTGCATCTCATCGTGGATTCAAAGTTCACATTCGGTGAATTCTTTGGTTTTGGTGGATATATGTATTATAGATATATGTTATTTGTATTTGTAAAATGTATATATATATATATATACAATATAATATAGATTATCTATTATATTATATATACATGTAATATATATATATATATATACTTATTAAGTGACTCCCATAACTTGTGCATCCCAAAAGGGATATTTAATACCATTGGATTCTACATCGGCCAACGGCCTCATGGCCAGGCCATGTTGTCCTACAACGCAGATAGCTTGGCCACCTACAACACCGTGGGCCCTGCCGCCACTCGGTTGGGGTTTGGAGGAAAGATGTGTAGAGGGCGAAGATTCTATGGCTGGTTTAATGTGGAATTTGTCTACAGTATATATATATATATGTAAATATTAATATTATTAATTTTATTAATATTACTATTATTATTATTATATACATATATATGTATATATATATATGTATATACGTACATGTTAGCTAGGCAATCACTATAGTTGGGTTCAGTTGCGGACAAAGGCCCGAACATTTGATTTAAGGGGTCGAGAGGATCTAGTCTCTTGCGGTTGTGTTGGGAATCTTCCCAAATCGACGTGTTTGTGTGTGTGTGTTGGGGCTCAATGGTGTGGACATCACCGAAAGGCCAAAGTGAGTAGAGGTGCTACAGTCCACATCTTCAAGTTACCCTCATCAAACATGGCGGGCCGCTGGAAAATCTTCCATTTTGTTCAATGATTTTCCCAGCCATAAACCTCCATTTATAGTGCTTGTTTCCCATGTGTTTCCATAGTTGTCCAGGAAATCTTTCATTTTCTGCGGGGATTTCCCACATTTTTCCAGCGGGCCGCCATGTTTGATGACACCGGAGGGTAATATCCCAAATATTACTGTATCCGATATTATGCCATAATATCCCCATGAATACTAGGTCAATCTTAGATGGGTAGAAACTAATCCTGTAGTCTTTTGGTATCAATGCTATTATCTACAATAAGCAGCAACGAATTTATTTTTTTTTGCAGGGTATCTGGCTGATTGGCACTGGAAAACCCCATATAATCCCATTTAATCCATATATTCTAAGATTGGCACTGAATATGTACATATCTAAGATATGTCTTTGGTAAGCCGCTTTCCTTACCAACGGGGGATCCTTCCAAATTTGACCTCCGCCTTGTTTTTTTGGTCAATTGGTTTGTGCAAGGGGATGTCCCATGATCAAATAATATCATGAAAAATATTGTTGTACTTGTTCTTATTAGTCGGTACATATTAATCTGGGTAAATTTGATCACGACCTCACTGTTCGACCAAACCCTGGAATCATGGTTAGTATTGGAAATCATCCCCAAATGGCCGCACTATTCAGGGTAGTGAAATATTATAATTTACCCAGATAGGTTATTAATCACCAATTATTCCACTATTAGTCACCATTAATCCCTATTAATGATCATCTGTCCCACTATTAACCAATGTTAATAGTTACTAATGTCTTTATTATTGGGAGTCTTCCTGAGCCACACGGAAGGGGATTGATTTTTCTATGTTCTTAGCCCTTTTGGACGTAAACGGCACACCTGCAGCCCGGTTCGAAGTTCCAAGGTTTACCCTGGGGTACCCTCTGGTAAACTAACATAACTCTGGGAAATCACCATTTTTTATGGAAAAACACTATAAATGGCAATTTTCAATAGCAAACTGTTAAATTACCAGAGGGTAAACGTTTTCGCAGATGTGGAAAAAACACGGGGAAACCCGTCCGTAAAAGGATCTACATTTCTGTTGGTTGTTTCCACATTTGTTTCGTATTTTTTTTACAGCATGGTACTGTAAATTGTGAGATGCAGGGGTCATTGGCGAGAATCCTATTCCGGACTCTGCCATGTTTGCTGATATCTCCAAGCACTTATTACTGTGTATGGGATCAAACCCAGTCATGTAAAATCCCCGCTAGTTAAGTGGTTAATGACTAGATAATTGGTTCTACTGACTGAATGTTCCATATGTATATATATATACATACACAATATATGTATATTATAAATGTATAACTTTCTTTCTAAAATGGTTATTGCCCACTTGTACAACTTGGATACAGATCCATAAGCATACTAAAATCCACAATTCTATAAAGACCATACCATATGTACATTCTATAACCGTACAACATCCCATACTTCCCCAAAGTTATAGCATAAAATCCCACGAAACAAACATACATCAAAACACCATAGTTGTGGATTTAAGATAGAACATCTCAATGGATTGGTTTAAGGGAACATCTACACCGGAAACCATCGATTTTTCCATTAAATATGGGGCTTTCCTGTAAAATTTCCATGAAACCAATCCATTGAATCATCCAATTTAATAAGATTTTCCATCATAAACCATCCAGCTATGGGGGTACCTCCATTTATAGAAACCTCCATGTATTCCTATTATTGTTAATGGAAAATGCACATCCCAGCCGTGTTCAACCACCGAGGTGACTGCCCTACTGGCTCCGAGTGATTGGCACCATGGTATCTTGGATCGGATCAAGGTGATGGGAGTGGTGGCTAGCAGCTTGCCAAGTTGGCACTGGGCAAAAACACTCAATTCTGGTTGGTGGTTTGGAACATGAATGGATTATTGTTTCCATTCAGTTGGGAATAATCCTTCCCATTGACTAATATTTTTCAGAGGTGTTGAAACCACCAACCAGAATTTAGTAAGTTATGATAATAAGTTCATCAGAGGGGATAATCAGCATCATCATGGGATAATGACTAATAATAATAACAATAATAAAATGAAACAACCTATGTAGCATGTTTCCTCCCAGTGCCAAGTATAATAACAATAAGTATCCAATGTACCAGTACCAACATGGTATATAAACATGAATATAGTGTATCATGTATCATGAATGATGGTGATACTCAATTTAGTAAGTTATGATAATAAGTTCATCAGATGGGGTAATCAGCATCATTATCATGGGATAATGACCAATAACGATGAAAAAAACGGTTACCATATGTTAATAATATCCCATGGATAAATACCTTATCATTGGTTATTATAAGTTAAAATATCATGGGGTAATAACCAATAATAATGGGAACATTATGGTTAGTAAGGGGAACTATCCCAATGAGAAGCCTTTTTCAGGTGAGTGAGTTATTGTAATTTACCTAGACGTTACCTGGATATTACAAGGTCGTGCCCCACATGATCAATTTGGGATTTCATCTGTCAGGAATGTTTGGGTGACAAACCTGAGGAATGATTGGGGATTTCGAGATGTAGGGAAATTATTTTATTTTATGGGAGTCGTTCAAAACCCACCAGTGGGGATGTTACGTTGGTAATTCTGTGAGCAAAAAGGCATGATTTTTCCGGGGAAGGCAAGAAGGCAAGGTTAATATAATGAGAATTATACCAGTAGTACCGCACAAGGCGGTGGCGGAAGTTTCAAAAATAGGAAACCTATAGGAGAAATTGGTTGTTGTGAATCAGGGATGGCAGAGCGAAGCCACTGATGGACTGAAAGGTGCTTGATCTCTCTCACTCTTTCTCTCTCTTTCTCTGGCTATCTACCTACCTACCCATGTATCTATCTATCTATCTATCTATCAGTGTAATGTAGCGTGGGGTAGTGTAATTTAGTGTCGTGGAGTGTACTGGAGTGTAATGTACTGTAATGTAATGTAGTGTGACTTCGAAGTGTGCTTCGCGCCACAACGGCGTACACTTTTTCAACATCTGAACCTCCAACAATGGTCCGAACCCCTAGTCTTTTGGACCTTTTGACTTCGAAATGTGCTTCCCGCCACAATGGCGTGCACTGTTTCAACATGTCAACTTCCAAGCGTGGTCGGAGACCGCCAGTTTTTAACACGTTTGACTTCAGAATGTGCTTCGCGCCACAACGGCGTGCACTCTTTCGACATCTGGACTTCCACAAGTGGAACGGCGTACACTTGTTCGGCATCTCAACTTCCAAAAGTGGTCCGAGACCGCCAGTTTTTTACACTTTTGACTTGGAAATATAGTTGCAGTTGTAGTTGTAGTTATAATTGTTGTAGTTGTTGTTGTAGTTGCTGTTGTTGTTGTTGTTCTTGTAGTTGTTGTAGTTGTAGTTCTAGTTGTAGTTGTAGTTGTTGTGTAGTTGTTCTAGTTGTAGTTGTTGTAGTTGTTGTAGTTATAATTGTTGTAGTTGTTGTTGTAGTTGTTGTTCTTGTAGTTGTTGCAGTTGAAGTTCTAGTTGTAGTTGTAGTTGTTGTGTAGTTGTTCTAGTTGTAGTTGTTGTAGTTGTAGTTGTTGTAGTTGCTGTTGTTTTTGTTGTTGTTGTAGTTGTTGTAGTTCTAGTTGTAGTTGTAGTTGTAGTTGTTGTGTAGTTGTTGTAGTTGTAGTTGTCGTAGTTGTAGTCGTAGTTGTTGCGGTTGTTGTTGTTGTTGTTGTTGCTGTTGCTGTTGCTGTTGCTGTTGTCGTCGAAGTTAAGGTAGTTAAGTTAGTGAAGTTAGTTAAGTTAATCAGTGTCTACTTTTTCGACATGTTCACGTCTAAAAAGGCTCAAAACCCGCAGTTTTTCACACTGTTGACTTCGAAATGTGCTTCGCGCCACAACGGCGTGCACTTTTTCGACACTTTTTCGACATCTGAACCTCCAAAAGTGGTCCGAGACCGTCAGTTTTTAACACTTTTGACTTCAAAATGTGCTTGGCGCCACAACGGCGTGCACTTTTTCAACATCGCAACTTCCAAAAGTGGTCCGAACGTGGTGTGTTTTGTACATTTTGACTTGGAAATCTGCTTCGCGCCACAACGGCGTGCACTTTTTCGACATCGCAACTTCCAAAAGTGGTCCGCTCCTCTAGTGTTTTGTCCATTTTGACTTGGAAATGTGCTTCGCGCCACAACGGCGTGCACTTTTTCATGTCTCATCTGGCCAGCTGGCTCCGCACCCGCCGCTTTAGCGAGCCTACTTTTCGACCCTCCGGAGCCACAAATCATTGGAAAAAACACAGTGCTTCGCGACTTTCCTATCTTTTCGCGCATCTACCTCTTCTTTCTTCTGATCTTTTCTCTTCTCTCTGCCTCTTCCCTGCTCTGCGTTTCAACTGTCCATATTGTCGGAAGTTTAGCTTCTAAACTTCCTTCGATAATTATATGCTTTCCTTTTCTTATTACTTTGCTTTCTTTCTTCTCTCTGTTTTCTTCTTTCCTTCTTGTTTTCTTGGCTTCCTTTTTCTCTACTGTATTTGATTTTTGGCCTTCCTGGTTTTCTTTTCTCGGTTCCTTTCCGTCAAAACTCCTTGTTTATTTATAATTGTTTTTTTTGACCATTTTGGTCACTTAATATGTTCAATATTTATTTATATTTAAATGATTAATATTTTATCAATGTGATTAATACATATAGGTCCAGGCAGAAATGCGTGATTCATGTTTGGAGTCATGATTGATCTCTGAACCACGAACAGATTACCCATTCATGGCATAAACAGCCCATTAAACGTGAAAATCTCCGCAGAGTCATGATATCTCGAGATTTCTACAGAACTCTTGACCAGTTCATTGATAGGTGCTAAAACTTTAGGTTTCTGCTCATTGAACCACCCCATGACTCTCCTTCTAATGGAGCTTGAGCTTGAGTTTTTGAGCAACTGTACCACGATCCTGACCCGTGACTTCGATCTGTTGGAGTCAATTTCGTTGACAAAAAGTGTCACTACGACTTCTTTATGAATTGGAACTGACTTGTCGTCAACTACCCTCGGATTGACTAACATAGCTATGGAAAATCACCATTTTTCATGGGAAAGTTCACTATAAATTGCCATTTTCAATAGCTATGTTAGTTTACCGGAGGGTATATACTCTTCCTGGCGGAACGAGATCATCGATGTCAGATCCGAAGACCTCCATACGCGACTGGAACAGGGAATCCAACTGGAAGAACGTGTGCCACCGGTGTACCACTTGATGATGTGATGCAATTGATGAAGTACTTCAGGAAGAATCAGAAGGGGCATCTTTTTAAAATTGGCATCCGTGTGCCTCAGCTGAGTGTACAGATGGGGTTTACCATGGTTTATCCAAGAGGCCAGATGGGGTTTTGCCTTTGAGAGGTTTTGCCTCGCCCAATCACCAATCAACTCTTCGACCAACTTGGCCAGCCCTGCAAAGCGCTGGCCAGTGGGATAGACAGCAATCCGTGCGCTTTCCGCTTTCTATTCTTGTTGTTTTGTTTTTGATTGTTTTCCTTTTCTTTCTTTCCATTTTTCCTTTTCTTTCTTTCCCTTTTTTCCCTTCTTTCCTTTCTTTCCCTTCTTTCCTTCGCATTTTTTTTGTCTTTCCTTTGTTTTGTTTCCTTTCTCTTCTTCCTTTCCGACTGGTGTGCATCTGAATTGGCTTTTTGAACCCATCCTTTGGAGGAGTTCCTACCAGTTGGTCAGTCAAGAGAGGGGACAATTACGGGTCATTCCGTATCAAAATGCAGCGTGTCCGCCAAGCGACCAACATTCGAGAGAACCAGCACACCCGCACAGCGCAATCCTTGGGGCAGAAACAGTACTTTGTGATGTGGGGATGTATCAAAACCAATCTTGCTATATTTGGGGGGATGAACATCCATTTACCAGTTATTTGATGTTCACCAGGGGGACAAGGTTTTGACACACTGCCATGTATCCCCAAACAGAAACTCAATTCAATCAGAGCTTTGAACATGTACCCTGGGGTAAACTAAGCTAGATGTGGAAAATCCATGGTTACTACAAGGTGGTGCCCTATGGTGTACTGTAGATGTACAATATCCATAGCAATTGAGGGCTATCAACTAGATAGAATTTGATATAATTTGGGGGAAACACAGAAACACATTCTATAAATGGAGGCTTCCTAAATTGGAGGTACCCCAAAACCATGGGTTTCAATACTAAAATGGTTTAATGACTTGGATGATTTGGGGTACCTCCACACACCCAAATGTTGGAATTTCTATTGCCGGCTTTGGTTACGAGAGCCAATGTTTTTGGTTTAAGGGACATTTTACAGGTTTAAGCCCCATATAAATATCCCATAGGATCCATGTATGGTATATATGCTAACATTGGGGGTATCTTAATGGTAAATGTTACCATATATGGCATACATGGATCCTATGGGTATGGGAAAATCCCATGGTTTCGGGTTGAGATTTTCCCACCAATCCACTAGTCCAGTGACAGACGCCCTCGCCAAACCCACGCCAAACGCCGTGCCCAGAAGTGTCGTACCCCTGCCGCGCCTTCATCGACACGCAGACGTATGTGCAGATTTTTCAGTGCCCTGGCGTTCTGTTGAAATTGTCGAAATTTCTTGGATGTGGTGAAGAATGGTGAATAATAGTGGTTAATAATGGTTAATAATGGTTAATTACAATGGTTAATAATGATGATTAATAATGGTAGAAAAATGGTGAAGAATGGTGAAGAATGGTGAAGAATGGTGAAGAATCATGCATGATTAACCATTAACCATTAATAACCACTACTATTAACCATTATTAACCACTACTAATGGTGAAGAATGGTTAATCACCTTTAGTAGTTAATAATTGTTAATCATTAGCATTATTCAATGGTATACTTCAAGGATCACCACAGATATTTAGAAACTGGAATGGTGTTTTAAACTAAATATATATTAGGATGATGATGATTATTATTGTTATTATTATTATTAATTGTGTTTTAACCCTGGTTAATGGTGTGTTCCATATATAATCATATATATATATCTATATATTTATCCCATATACTCCTTGTATGGAATATTTTCCAACATTTGCCACCAACATCACCCAGTTTTGTAGGTAAATATACCATACATGGAGCATATGGGGATGTAAATATATGTTTTAAGCGATTGATGTGATTTTTAAGTTTTAGTTTTTTTTGTTTATATGTTGTTATAATCCCGTAAATGGTGAACATGACCATAAGATATCATAAGATAATTAGTAAATATTAATATCTGTAAATATGTACACTGTAAGATTTTCATAGTATATTCTCTCTTCTCCTCAATAACTCTCAAGACAATATCACAGTATATCGACCTACAATACCCTAGAGGTTACGGCACATAAGAACCTCTAAGATGCCTTAGACCTACAGTGGATGGAAGAAACACCACCTTGGATGCTTGAAACCCTATACCCTCTGGTAATTTAACATAGCTATTGAAAATGGCAATTTAATAGTGGATTTACGCATGAAAAATGGTGATTTTCCATAGTTACGTTAGTTTACCAGAGGGTAAATCATGGGATAAACCATCCATCAACTGGTGATTCGGATTTCGCAACCATCCACCGTCTGTCCCATCCCATCCGCCTGCCTCCGGAGTCTCCGGAGAGGTTCCGCTACAACCAGCTGCCCAGTACGAAAGCCGCGGTGGCCACGGCGGCGGCCATTACGTTGATGGCCACCTTGCAGCAGACGGTCTTCGAGGCCGGGGTCGTGGAGCCGTGGTGGACTCAGTAGGGAAAAACCATGAAAAACCACGGGAGTTGGTGGTAAAGTACAGGGCTTTCCTGGAGATTTGTGTTAAAGTGTAATTAATCATAATTAATCCACAAATATATGTGTTCCTTTCCTTGGACATCTCTAGTACCCTCTGATAAAGTTTAATCCATGTCCATGTTCGATGTGAAAATGCAAAGCTGAAAAACCGGAATACCCTTTGGCAATCTTTGGCATATAGGAAGGAATCAAAGGGATTTTCTGTTTTTCTGATTTCCTACTCTCCAATATCCACATCTTGAAATGACGTCAGGTTCTGGAAAAGCACCCGATGCAAGTTGGCCATTGTCTGGTGATGTTGATGACTTCAAGGGATCGGGCGAAAACGACTTTCCTTGTCCTTGCTTTGACGCTGAGAAAGCGGGCGATTTCTGGAGTTCTGGTTGATTCTGACTATCTAAAATCACCAAGGATGAGAAAACGGAGGTTTATTCCAATCATTCCAATCATACAACAAGAATTTTGAGAACGTCCTCCAAGCTGGTAGACTCTGGTAGACTCCAAAATAGTGTGGGGAAGCGATGCGGCATCGAAGTGCGAGCTGATTCTTGATGCCTGGACCATCGGCGCAGAAGACGGGCGCTTCTTAGAAAGAGACATTCATAACATATTAATCTGGGTAAATTTGATCACGACCTCACTGTTCGACCAAACCCTGGAATCATGGTTTTTATAAGGGAAATCATCCCCAAATGGCCGAACTATTCAGGTTGGTGAATTATTATAATTTACCTAGATTAATGTCCCTAATTAAACACAGGGAACAGAATCCCCTAGACAAATGGAATTCTTGGTTGGTAGATATGGGTATTGGTTGAGATATTCTAGGGTCTTTGAGGCTGGGAGTGATTGACATGGTGGCTACCACTCCAGATGAGAAACCCAAGACCCCAAGAATAATTGGGATCTATGCTGGGGAGTTGCGTTTTCAGATGGAAATGGGTTGAAGTTGGGATTGAGACATGTTGAATCATTTTGACCAAATACTGATGTGACAAAACACATGGATTGTTACCCACTACCCTCTGGTCAACGTTTACATAGCGAACTGGAAAGATCCACAATTTTATAGCTGGGTAAATCCACTTTTTCGACTGGGCCATTTGGCAATTTTCCATAGCTTTTTCTATCTATGTTTACCAGGCCGGGTATATAGGTGAATCGTGGGGATTTCTTTTCCGCAGTATCTGGTTGGCTATTTCGAGCAGAAACGTAAGGTGATCTTGAAGCCAAGCAGATGAGAAGCCAAGGAAAACAAAAAAATAAACAAAACCATGGACTTCAAGCATGTTGGTGGATATTGGATGGCCATCATTCAGATTTTTTTTTATGATTTACATATCCATTATAACGATTCCAATAGGATGAATGGCCGTAAACCATAGTTATATAGCCATAGTTACCATAGGGATCATATCCCAATGGATAGAGGTTAGACTCCCTTTTTCCCCATGACTTAGTCACCTCTGGCCTGCACACCCAAGTACATGATCGAACAATCAACTTTTGAAGAGTGAATGTTGGGTCCATATGGAGGTTTACATAAATGGAGGTACCCCCATAGCTGGATGGTTTATAATGGAAAATCTTATTAAATTGGATGATTCAATGGATTGGTTTAAGGGAAAAATTACAGGACACCCCGATATTTAATGGAACAATCTATGGTTTCCGGTGTAGATTTTCCCTTCAAGCCAGTGAGTCTAAAGCATCCAAAATGGTCTCTAAAGCACCAATGGCGTGGTGGAGAATCTAGCGAACTGCATGGAAGTGAACAATGACCCAATAGGACTGGGCAAAATCAGCAACGCACTTTGAACGGACACATTCGCAACAAAATCGACATTGCACCGCAATTTCTGTACCTGGTACCCTCTGGTAAATTAACAGTTCGACCCTGGCATTCATCGGGGTTGGAAGATTAGTGAAATCATTAAAACTAGGCTAAATTATGAGGGTCAACAAGTTTATTTACCAGAGGGTATAATTTGTGAGTTAATATTATACTTGTACTTGTTATCTCCGTTGCTCCACATTTTGCAGCGCTTGCAGCGCTTGCAGCCATGATAAATCCTCCTAGCTAGGCTTTCTACTGTAGGATCTGTGGTGGATACATAGCATGGGTTTAACCGTTTAACCCCAAGAAATGGGCTATACCTTGCTATTGCCATTCAAATATAAATGAAGAAAATGTAATGATCAACTACTGGAATTGGGAGTAATTACCCCATATTCAGACAAACTCATCGACAGCTACAGCTGGGCCCACGTTGGACTCAAACCTTTTAATTTGAATCCTAGGGATATCCTACAATGACATTTATATATATATATATGTATATTAATAATATATATGTTACATATTGATATCTATATATATAAATAAAATATACTATACTATAAAATATAATATAATATGATATGATATGATACAACATAATATGACATGATATGATATGATATAATATGATATGATATGATATGGTATATATATCCCAGGAGTTCAGAAGCAACCTATATATATACTATATAGGTTGCTTCTGAACTCCTGGGATATATCAAACCACCCAGACCAGGAGTTACAATGAAGGCCCAACTAAAAATCTTCAAACACACAAAATAATCATCCCAAATCCATCATTCAGAGGTTGAATCCCAATGTTTCATGATTGAAATCCATGGAAAATCCACCTATTTTCCTCCATGAAATGCCCCATTTCCATAGGGAAAATTCCAGCCCATTGCGAAGCGAATTGCTACGCCAGGGTCCCGACTTGGACAAGAACATCCGCCTGGCTGCGCAATTGCAAAGCACAGGCGCAGCCGTTGGGCCTTGAACATGAAGGATTTAGGATTCATAGATCGATTATCTATGTAGAACATAGCTATTCAATGGGAATTTCAGGATCCTAAAATGGAGGTACGTTAGTACCATATTTTTGGCCATATTTTCTGGGGATATTCCCTTAATTACATAGGCCTTATATAGGCCTATTATAGGCCTTATATAGGCCTTATATATGGTAGGTACCTCCAATTTAGGTTCCTGAGATGGCCAGTGAGCTATACAGATCTTTTGAACATAGAGTGATTCTATATAGCTCTTTGGTCTCCATAGAGTCCATTGCAAAATCACCTCGGCATCCGGACTTCGCTATATGGAAGGAGATATGAATTGAGTTTCCCAACGGCATGATAGCTGAACACCTCTTTGTGACGATCGCAGGGCCAAGGTTGGCTGGGCGTAAAGCATGGACGGTTCATATTGGTGCAGGGGAGTATCGAAACATGTAGTTAAACCATCAGCCGGATGTGTAGAAAGTGGAGCCCCGCACGAACAACATGCAACTCTAGATACCCTCTGGTAAACTAACATAGCTATTGAAAATCACTATTTTTAATGGGTAAATCAACTATAAATGGCAATTTTCAATAGTTATGTTAGTTTACCAGAGGGTATCTCATAGATCCTGCTTAGTGCAGTTGTAATCCTATTTGTCAATCTCTGGGGCCCCACATCCATAATTCAGTAGAAAACAGCATGGTTTCCCGTAGATTTTCCCCATTAAACAATCCCCAAAATCAATGGGAATTCCAGGATCCTAAATTGGAGGTACTGTACCATATGTTTGGCCATATTTTGTGGGGATATTCCCTGAAATTTAGGCCTGAAAAATAGGCCAAAAATATATGGAATCGGTACCTCCATTTTAGGATCCTGGAGATCTCCCATTGAAAAAAATCATTGGGCGTAGCAGAAGAAGTCACAGCTTCCACCGGAAATCTCCACCGCAGCTGACCAGTTGTCAACACCATCGTGGGGCCAGTTCGCTTCAAAGCGGATGGATCGTCTGATAGGTCGGATGGCTTAGATGGGCGGCAGGGGGGGTGGTTAGATGTGGTTAGTGTTATGGGATTCTAAGTGGCGAAATTTGGCGAAGTGAAAATTGGGATTATCAGCCAGTTACATCCAGTTACTAACTTGCTGGTTGGTGGTTTGGAACATGTTTTATTTTTCCAAATCACCAACCAACTGACTAAAGATCCCAACAGAATTTCATATTTTTCAGAGGGGTAGGTATACCACCAACCAGCTAACATAGCTATGGAAAATTCTCATCTTTAATGGGTACCCTCTAGTTATTTAACAGAGCCATGGGAAATGGCCCATTTATAGATGGTTTACCTATTAAAAATGGTGATTTTCCATGGCTATGTTAGTTTACCAGAAGGTTAACCATCATTAACCATATATTAACCATTATTAACCATTGAAATGGGTAAATCTTTAGTGGAAAATTCTCATCTTTAACCACCAAGCAGTGGGATGTATCTCCTGCACTGGACTCCACTCCTTCGATTTTCAACACCTGTGGAGATCATCCCAGGTGTCCAACGCTAGAAATGTCCGAGCTGGTTACGTCAATTTACCCTCGGGTGATACAAAAAACCATGGAACATCAACCATTTTTAATGGCTAAATCAACTATGATTTGTAATTTTGCAATAGCTATATGTTAGTTTACCAGAGGGTATGTCTTTCTGTTTCCCCCTACGTCTCCATAACATGTGGTGATTGAAGGGACTGCGAAGCCTAAGGCCCTCAGGTTACGGTAGGTTGACTGGGCCGTTTCTGGGCACACTATTTACCCATATTTATTTATCCCATTTTCTACCACACACACACATTGTTTGATGATGGAAGTTAAGATAGAAGTTTGTAGAATCCCACTAAACTAGTGATACAGAAACATTTATGTTCTATCCATTTAGGGACAGTATAGCGGATTACGGTTGAAACCCCATGCTTGGATGGTAAAACATCAGCTTACCAGTAGATGGTTTCTTCAAAAATCCAATGATGTTGACAGAAATTCATGGGCATCGGCTCATATCGCCAAAAGTCCCTACCTGGTGGTGCAGTTTTGCACTACCATCTGGTTATTTAACATAGCCATAGAAAATCACCGTTTTTAATACAAAACCATCTATAAATGGGCCATTTTCCATGGCTATGTTAAATAACCAGAGGGTAAATGGATTAGATTTCACTTCACCATAGTGGGGATTCTATCCCAACTTCTGGAGGCTATCCGATGATCCATGAGCTAACCCCCCGTCATGTCGAATGAAGGTGTTGAATCTTTCCACTGTAAACTCTCCTCCAAAGGGTTGTTGGAGTTATTCTTGCGGGCTCAACCCCAAAAAATCACCCAGCTATTTTCTCCAGCAATTGAGCAGTGTTCGCACCCCCTGTCTTTTGATGATTCATGCTTGGGTTATACTATCTGGTTTATTGTTGGGGACAATTATAATCCATAATAGGAATATGTTCAAACCAATCCAGTAAAAATCTATATGTATATATTGGTTATACCTTTATACCGTTATACCATCCAAATTTATCCAATATATTGAGGATGATCACAACCCATGAACTGGGAACTCCTGCCTATTATCCAACCAGTATAAACCGACAGCGTTGCGGGCTTTGAACATTGCAGAATATGGGTTTTCACATCTTTCAACATAACCAGATGCGAACATTTTGGTGTTTTGGTGGTAACTAGGTCAATCTTAGAGGGTAGAAGCTAATCCTTTGGTCTTTTGGTATCAATAGGACTATCTACATTCACCAGCTAAGAATTGTTTTTTGTGCAGGGTATCCAAGATTGGCACTGGTACATGTTGATAAATATGCCAGCACCATGGAGCATATGATGTCATGTCCATTCCCTTTCCTGGATACATAGCGACGAAGACAATGTGGCCATTGTCAGATAAAGATACAACTGATTACCCTTTGGTAAACTAACATAGCTTTGGAAAATAACCACCTTGAATGGGTAAATCATCGAACTAAATGGGCCATTTTCCAGTTCGCAAACTGTAACAAATTACCAGAGGGTAACAGTTAACTCCTCATTTGCTGCTATATTTAGTACAGATACAGATACACGTTACCCTCTGGTAAATTAACATTGACCCTGAAAATGACCTATTTATAGTGGAAACTAGTCTTCCAAGCCCGATGAATGCCAGGGTCGAACTGTTAATTTACTGGAGGGTAATCCACAAGATACTCCAATCAAACATGCCTTAGCAAATTCAACAGAATATGATGGTGGCAAAACGATGACAAGGACAACCGCCAAGGCCTCAGGTAAGTCATGAAAACAAAAAGGGCCATGGCCTCCAAATGGGCCATGTTCATCCTGTATCCCAAGATTGATTATATGATATACAGATAATATATATATATATACACATAATATATATATATATATATATGCACATAATATATATATATATAATCAAAATATCAATAAATAATATATAATATCTCTTCAACCATATCTTATATGTTTCTATATTCAGATATCTATAACCATACATCAATATCATATTAATCCATATATATATATGATAATATCATAATACATATATATATATATACACAGTCATATTTATATATGTGATAATATAATATATATGTATATATATATGATCATATAATAATATATATATATATGATATTATATATATATATATATATATATGTATATGATATATATATATATATATATGTATATGATATATATATATATATATATATCCCAAATCCCAACGTTCTCTCAGCGCTCTCTCCACATCCCAAAATATCTGGCAGGATGGCCGTCACTGTGCAGGTGGAGGAGGTGGAGGTGCCACGAAAGATTTCTGGCGAGGTGGAAAGATCCATAATTCCATAGCCATGGAAAATGGCCCATTTATAGATGGTTTACCTATTAAATATGGTGATTTTAACAGGAAAATCACCATTTTTAATAGGAAAATCACTGGAATAGTGGTTAGCAAGGGAAATCATCCCCAAATGGCCCAACTATTCAGGTTAGTGAATGTAATTATAATTTAACATAATACCTTCTGGTTATTTAACAGTTTGCCATGGAAAGATCCACCATGCTATTAATAGGAAAATCACCATGCTATTAATAGGTAAACTAACAGTTTGCCATGGAAAGATCCACCATGCTATTAATAGGTAAACCATCGAACTAAATAGGCCATCTATACCATGGCTATGTTAAATAACCAGATGGTAATAATTATGCCAGAATAGTACTTGGATAACATTACTAAAATGTAACATAATATATAGTAATCAGGGTGGTTATATAATTTCTATTACAATGTTGTATAATGTTACATAATTTGGTTGGTGGTTTGGAACATTTGGATTATTTTCCCCAATAGTTGGGATGATGATCCAATCTGACTTTCATATTCTTCAGGGGGATTGAACACAACAATTAGTAATAGTAATTATAATATTGTATAATTGTTCTTGGTATTATAATTGTATGGTGGTTGTTATATAACGACGATTGTAACATATATATTTATAATGTCAGGGATATAATGTTAAATGTGTATAATGGTTTTACTATTAATGGTTATCCAAGCAGACCTGGTTTTGTTATATAATTGTTATATAATGTTACATAACAGTAATTGGGATAACCACCAAGATACTATTATGGATAATCCAATGTTACAATGTTATGTTGGCATAATTGTTATATAATGTGTGGCATTCCTGTACCAATAATTGGGATGTACAGCCCATTCTTTAAGCAATGATAACGATGACAATAAAAAGTAAGAATAATGATGATATATAAAAAACAATGATACTACTTGGTGGCTCATCCCACTTAGTAAGTGAGTTATAACCCCAGTTATAAGTGGATTAACCCTACTTATCCCATTTATAACTGGGGTTATAACGCACTTACTAAGTGGGATGAGCCACCAAGTAGGGATACCTATCTTAAGTAACTACCGTGTTTCATGAGAGCTGTATGTTTCATAGCCGTGCCGTACGCCGATGAAAAACCTCAGGTGAACTCAATGGAGGGATAGTACGTGTGTGAAAAAAAATAATGGTTTTAACCCGATTTATCTTCAGAGTCATTCTTATATATACATACATACATACAATGTATGTATGTATATATATACTGTTTATCTATTATTGTTTTTTTATTGTTGCTATTATAGTAATTCCCAATCTGTCGGATTTCACTTTTCTATTGAATCACCCGAACTCCACAACTCCACAACTCCACAGTCCGGTCGCAGTCCCACGGTCACAGGGCGTGGGCTTCCAGGGCCAGCTGTTGAATGAGACGAACCTCAGTAACCTGGTGCCTTTGGCGAATGTGACTACTGTAGTACTAACTGTTTCTTTGCTGTAGATGGAGACATATACCCATTGTATACCCATCAATATAACCATTATATACCATTTGTTTACTATAAATATAGAATAACAATTAATTAGAGACATATTTTGTGCTACATTGAGTGGTTGACTCATAGCCATGTAACTATTTATTTTGCTGGCAAATGTGACTTTTTTGTAGTGCAATGGATTGGTTTTGTTGGGAAAATCTTAACCGGAAACCACAGATTTTCCCACTCAATCTTGTTTTTTTTGCTGTAAGGTTGGGGATGGTTAAAACAATCATAAACCATCCATTTGGGAATGGTTTATACCACCTGTAAAAATTGTGATTTGGGGATGGTTTATTATTGTTTTAAGCACACTACTGTAGTACTGTTTCTTTGCTGTAAGATGGGGACATAAACCCATTATATACCCATCAATATAACCATATATTTTTTCTTACTATATATATATATGTAATAACCATTATATACCTAACCATGCCTAACCAGTTTTTTTTAATAGTCATCGCAGGGTATCAATCAGCTTGGGAATAGAGCAAACAAAACAATCAAACGCGAGGACATCTCAAGGATATGATCTTGGATAGACCCCCAGAATCACCAAACCACCCCCCCTTAGTTGAAGGGACATTAGAGGAAAATTAAATGTCATTAGAGTGAATATGTTTTTTTGGAAACAAATATCCATACCACCCCCTTAGTTGAAGGGACATTAAATGTCATTCGAGTGAATAGAATAAATATAAAATGGTTCAGTAATATGTCTTCATCAAACGTTTGTCATAGATCTGGAGAATTGATTTTGCCTCCCGAGATGTCTAAATATAATAGAAACTACTCAGATGTTGAATCCCATGGCTGTTTTCTTTTGTCCAGAAAAGATCACTTCGGTCCCGGGTCGATCACCGGATTCCCTGACGTGAGCTGTAGCACCCTGGCTCGATGTGTCATGGTCCCTATGAATGTACAACCTTGGAAGAAACGGGCAAAAGTGGAAGCCAAAAACCGTGGATTTCCGAAGATCTCTCTGCTTCCAGTAAAACCTATTAGTAAAATCTATTTACTGAAAATCCAATAGGTTGTGAAATTCTAGAAATCCATTAACAAATGAAAGAGCCAATAGGTAAACCTGTATCAGAATGGTAAATAAGTAAAACCTATCATTTAATAGCTGGTTAGGCTGTTTCCAATAGGTTGTGAAACAGCCAGCCATTAACCAGCTATTTGCCACCAATGACCAGCCATTTTCACAAGCTATTGGAAACAGACTATGGGTGCCATTTGGACAGGCTTTTGACTCGCCAAGGAGTGGCCAATGCCGAGTTGGGATAGCAAGTTTCAACGCGAGCTGCTCGGAGTTTCAACCGGGGAATTCGGGTTTAGGGACCTTTAAAATGGTGGGAATTCTGTGGAGGGTTCTGGGAAAGCCATGGGATAGTGGATTTAACATGTTGGTTTAGATGTTTGTTTAAAGAAATGAGAGGACAGTTGGTGCATTTCACTAGGCCAATTGTTGTTTTAGCTTGGATAATTATATAATTAGATGATGTTACCCTCTGGTAAACATACAAAAAGCTATTGAACATGACCATAGAAATAGTGGATTTTCCCATTAAACATTGTGATTTTCCATAGTTATGTAAACGTTTACCACAGTGTAGATGAGGTTCTGAGTCAACTTTGAACTGCTGGTGCCATTCCAACATCTCCAAAGATGATCCGAGAGGAAAGGGGAACCGGGGAACCCATCGTCCGTTGTGATTGATGGTTTTGTCCACGGCAGTTCAAGAGTCATCTTATACAAGGTTGTGCCCCCCCAGTTATAAGTTGGTTTATAAACCATAGTAAATATTGATCTATTTACAATTGAAACCATAGCACGCATCAACAAAAAATGGTTCTGGCGGAAATTCATAGTTTGTAGGCAGATGGGCTTTCAGCTTAAACCAATGGGTGGTTTCAGGACCCTAAACTGAAGGTATTGTACCAATTTTCAGACCATCTTGTGTGTGACAATTACCATAGGCCTTACACTGGAACCCCCACTAGGACTGATGGGAGAATTCAATCAGCACTGGAAACACCAATAATTTTGCCCCATCAGAGCTATATGGGAGATTGAATCAGCTGACATGCCCTGAGTTGCCTCTGATTCAGGTACCTGAAATATCTTTGGAGATCTTTTCAATGGCCATTCCAGGATCCGATTTATTGGAGGTACCTACCATATATAAAGCCTATTTTTCAGGCCTATGTAAGTGAATATCCCCACAAACTTTGGCCAAACATATGGTACGTTTACGTACCTCCATTAAATCGGATCCTGGAGATCTCCCATTGATCTTTGGACCCTTCAAAAAAGCCTTAAAAAAAGGATGTGCCAGGATGACTTTTTTATTCTGAGTCAATACTTTAGTTCTTTAATCTGAGTTGCCAACGGTAAAATGTACTTTTGCCAAAGCTAGGTTTTATTTGGCAGCTACTTTGTCTAACTGATTGGTGGTGACTGGAACATGAATGGATTATGGCTTTCCATTCAGTTGGGAATGTCATATCATCCCAACTGACGAACTTATATTTTTCAGAGGGGTAGGGCTCAACCACCAACCAGATTATTATTATTAACCATCATTAACCATCATTAACCACAAAATAACCATTATTAACCATATATTAATAGTATATTACCAACCAATGGTAGGTTGAAACCACCAACCAGTTCACCATTCCTGAACTCTTTCCTGCTTCAAAGCTGTGCCAATCTTCGACCAGGTTGGAATGTCCCAAGGGCACCATTTACAACGCTTACGTGGCGGGCAACGGCACCTTGGATGGCAATAGCGATCGGTTGGTTTTGCAGTTCGGAATCGCGCAGGTGGTTTACAAAAAAAAAACGGTGAAGCTATGTTAAACTCATGATTTATGGTGTATATGTACTATGTATATATATATATATATTTATACAGTACATTTATATATACAGTATATATATAGTATATATATAGTATATATATATAGTGTATATATATAGAATATATATATAGTTTATATATATATAGTTTATATATATAGTTTATATATATAGTATATATATAGAGTATAAATACAGTATATATAGAAAATATATATATAGTATGTTCTCTATATATATAGTATGTTTAATACGTATACATATATATCCTATATATATATATGTATACATATAGCCAAATAGTGGGATTCAACGCCTGGTGCCTGGCAGGCACTGAGAGCTGCTTGTTGTGCCCTGCTGGCTTCACCAATGCGCCCAAGGGCGAGTGGTGTCAGGCCAGGTGATGCCTTCCCAGTGATGTTTGTTGGTTTATAGATATTCATAGAAACCATAGTGACTATAGGTATAGATATGTATATATATATATATATCAAGTTGGTTTATAAATGTTGATTAAAACCATAGTAACTATTTAGATATATCATGATATATCTCTACCATACAACCATATATATATACATAGTTAATAAAATTATAAGTCCACTTAGCTAACTATGGGGCACTACCTTGTAGAGGTATCCACACTTCAAACTGTGAATACCTGAAGTAGGTGATATCCACTGGTGAACAAACCGGTGACTCAACTGATCCATGTTACATCACCTTGTCGTTGAACATCCTCCAGTCAGACTGGAAACTATACGCATTTCCAGCATTTGCGGATCAATGGTTTTTCTGTGGGCTACCCTCTGGCTATTTAACATAGCCATGGAAAATGGCCCATTTATAGATGGTTTACCGATTAAACATTGTGATTTTCCATGGCTATGTTAAATAACCAAATGGTACCAACCAGTTGACCGTGAACATGTGGATAAAAAGGGGAATTATAGAGACTGCTGGGTCCGGACTACCAGTAGGTTGCTACCAGTAGGTTGCTGTAGATAGTTTGATGAAAACTTTCACAACCAGTTTGAATGGTTAGATAGTGACATATTGATGGAAGATGAATGGAAATAATGATTATTGGTTACAACCATTAACCATTTAGCTATAACTATACCATCAAATCCGAAAAAGATAACTGATTAATGGTTATATGGAGGTTTCCTAAAATGCGGCTACTCCCAAACCATCGGTTTCAGTACTAAATTGGTCTAATTTGTTTTGGGAGTTTATGGGGATTTCATAGGGAGAACATGTTTTTTTTGGTGACATAATAAGGATTTTATTAGATGTAAGGGGACATAATTAATAATGCTTAAGTATCTGGGAGGTGTGAGGTACACTTGCCAAATAATATCAAATAATATCAAATAATATTAATTATATCAAATAATATCAAATAATATCAAATAATATCAATTTAAATAATATCAACTAATTGAATAGATTATGGATGGTGTGATGAATGATGTGGTGAATTATTGTAATGCAGCCAGTTGGAAGGATTGTTTGATCTGTTTGCTACTTCAATTCCTTTTAAAACCACACCATCAATGCGGATACCCTCTGGTAAACATACAAAAAACTACGGAAAATCACCATGTTTATTGGGTAAATCAACTATTTTTATGATCATTTTCAATAGCTATGTTAGTTTACCAGAGGGTAGCTAAAACGACATGTTTGCAGAATGAGATCGGGGATGATATGGAGAATCGCCCCAAAAATCACCCGCCAAGTTTCGGAAATTTCCTGATTTGTGTAGAATGGCTGGAGAAGGAGTTTCAAATCTGGAGCCCAACCATATGCAAATTCACTATAGGACTTTAGGAATTTATGTTATGTTGTTTGAATTTTGATCTATAGGGAATCATCCCACATTTCCAAGAAAAAACATCACCTGGTTGGTGGTTTGGAGCATTTTTTATTTTTCCATGTATTGGGAATGTCATCATCCCAACTGACGAAGTCATATTTTTCAGAGGGGTAGGTACACCACCAACCAGATCACTTAAGATCGACCAAAAACCATCCCAAAATCACCAACAAATTATCCCAACAATCACTAAACATCCCAAAAATCCACCCAAAAATCCACCCAACAAACATCCATCAATATCCATCAATCACTAAACATCATCCCAAAAATATCCACCCAACAAACATCCAACAATCACTAAAAATCATCCCAAAATCCCAAAGAATCCACCCAAATCATCCACCAAAACCATCCCAGGCTTGTTCCGTTGGCACCTTTGCACGGAGCGAAGGCTCGGAGTGCCTGCCCTGTGCTCCCGGAGCCAACTGCATCGCATCAGGTGGGGAGCTGGGGTTCACCGGGTGGATTCCTATGGGAAAATTGAGGATTTCATGGGATTTACTATGATTTAGTGGGGTTTTTCATGGACAAAAAAAGGCAAAGATATGGATTTAATATGATTTAGTGGATTTAATGGTTTAGATGGTTTAGTACGATGTGGATCTAATTGGGATTTCACCATGAAACATGAGATCATAAGCCATGAAACAATGGATTTTACCGATGAAATGATGGTTCTGTGTGTGTGTCTGAACATGGCGTACGCCCGAGAATTGCATTTTTTTCGGGATGATCATGACGAAGCAGTCGATGGAATGGGGTAGCCTAGTTCCATGATGGTTTAATATGGAATATGGGGATATCGTTGGGGATTGGGCATGTACTGGGAAAAAGGAACATGGTATTTGCAGCGAGGGGAATAAACTACAGTTGGTGTGCCCAGGTTGAAGGTTGATTTGTAAACCCCACTACCTAGTTTGATATATTGACGTGTACCAGAAACCTGAAGCTTAGTCAAATTAGATGAAATTAGTCATAAACCTTAGCAAACAATGAGGCAGCACCTTTCAGAATGGTTCCGTGTGAAATTTTGGGGCTGTCAACATGTGTCAACCGATGGGGGTGTGAAACTTGGAGCTCTGCTTTCCCACCGGAGTTGGTTGATGAAGTACAGGGGTCACCTCCCATTTTTCAGATGCTCAATAGGGATGGTCACAACACCTTTTTCGTTAATGACCATTTTGTTGGACGTTATTATGTTTTATTATGTTATAACCCATAGGCTATGGGAAACATTATGAACAAACCCGTATGAACGGGAACCCTATCAACCAACTAATATATCCCAGAAAATCCCAATGACTCATTTTACCTCTGGGTTAATTGTGGATTATCACTACTATGGCTGGTAAAATGAGTCATTTGACTTTCAGGGTATAATGAAATGGTAAAATGGTAAAACAGGGTATCTTTACTGGCAACCTTAGAGCGACCTGGTAAGACCCCAGTGGCAATATTTTTTAGACCTCCAGGGAGTTCCACTGGTCCATGGCTGAACTTCGTAAGTCTTTTGGTAACAGAAACCCGGCCTGGTAATTTGTTACATAGCGAACTGGAAAATGGCTATTTATAGTTGATTTACCTATTAAAAATGGTGATTCTCCATAGTTATGTTAGCTTTCCAGAGGGTAACATCTATTCTGGCACATAGAAATAGTTGATTTACCGAACTGAAAGATTGTGATTTTCCAGTTCGCTTTTTGTATGTTTACCAGAGGGTAGTAATTGAAAAAGATTGTGTGCCACAATGATCCAGGATATATACGAACCAACTCAACCTTTCTTTCAGCATATCCAACACTGACAATGTAGTTCTCGTACAGTAAGTATAAGACCTGACCATATGGGTTTGTTTGAAAATATTGTACCTCCAATTACAACGGATGATTATATATGGAGTATTTTCCTAAAATTTCCCTATTAAAATGGCTATTTGTGGGTATCTCCTATTGACAAAGCCATACTGTATGATATCAGCATCTTAGCCTCATTTTGAGTCGCCCAGTCATTGGCCATTGGATGTTCAGCTGTTGATGAACTATGGTGGCAAAGCGTTCGATAATTTTCAATTAGAAATGGGTGGAAAGCAATCATTGAATCTCACTTAGTTACCAGCAAATCATGTGAGATTTCACCAACAAACCTGGGTTACCATGGGTTACCTATGAAATCTGCTAGTTGCAAGTAACAAAAAACAACTACTGGTTGGTGGTTTCAGATATTTGGATTATTTTCCATAATATATGGGATAATCCTTCCCATTGACTCATATTTTTCAAGATGGTAGGTATACCACCAACCAGCCTATGACTAAACAGATTCTGCCAAGCAGTTTTTGGCACTTTTTTCGCCGGTCTCATGGTCCGAAATCCCACCACGCTTGCTGGGCGCTACTTGGATCATGCCACTAAGTGATTGCAGCAATGGTTCGTTGTACCACTTACATTTTAAGGTCGGGCCCCCTATAAGTTGGTTGATAAAGCCCATCAACTAGTTGGTTACCCTCTGGTAATTTGTTACATAGCGAACTGGAAAATGGCCAAGTCGAAATAGTTGATTTACCCAGCTAGAAAATGATGATGTTCCATAGCTATGTTAGTTTAGCAGAGGGTAATTTATGAGACAATTACCCTAAACCCAAGGTTAGCCAAGTTATGTGCACCAACGTAGTGATAATTTCGAATCTCCACCTTGTACTTCTGCTTAGTTATGATTATATTTGTTGATTGGGCAATATATGCCATAATCAAACCTAAGCGTAACTAATAATCCCAACTAATATAATTGCTATTGGGATTTCATATGGTAATGATTGCTTAGTTATGAGAATATCCCAGTGTTATTCCATTCATCCATCAACATTCCAGGATAATAATATATTGATAATCCATTCGAATCTTCCATAAAAAAGTGCCACTAAACATATGACTATATAATATTAAAAATCTTTCATTAAACATATGGGGATAGGTCAAGTTAAGACAACATAGACAATTACCATATGTCCATCATATGTCCATCCAGTTTGCTTATAAAAGACATTTACCATTTACAATCATTTCACCAACCGGCTGAACCAGCCATTTTAAGGTACCCTTTGGGTACCAGACCTCGGATGACCCGCTTTTGACCCGGCGCTCGGAGGCACCACGACGCCGGGATCACTACCTGAGTACTACAGGCGGGAGAGAGTTGGTGGGTCAGTTCGACCTGGTACCCTACATTTACCTTTAACAGTTTGCTATTGAAAATGACCATAGAAATAGTGAATTTTCTCATTAAACATGGTGACCTTCCATAGTTCTGTAAACGTTTACCAGAGGGTAAGGCTTACAAATGGAATTATCAGTCCTAAGACTAGGACTATGTGTATATATAATGGCCATTTCAGGAACCTAAATTGGAGGTACCTACCATATATAAGGCCTATATAAAGCCTATGTAAGGAAATATCCCCACAAAATATGGCCTTATGTGTTACAGTACCTCCAATTTAGGATCCTGAACTTACCATTGATATATATATATATATATGTATATAATATATATATATATATACAATATATATCACAAAATAAGCCCAAAGAAACCATATGGAAATAACTGTTATAAGGGATGTTAATGGTTATAAGGGTTAATGGTTAGTTAATGGTATGGTTAGTTAATGTCAATGGTTGTTAATGGTTAATGGTCAAATATGCTTGTTTAGAGTTTATCATTACAATGGTTATTGATGGAAGATGAATGGAAATAATGCTTATTGGTTACAACCATTAACCATTTAGTTATAACTACCATCACATCCGAAAAAGATAACTGATTGATGGTTATATGGAGGTTTACTGAAATGGGGGTACCCCTAAATCATCATTTGTTTGTTGAGATTGTTCCATTATAAACTATCCATTTTGGGGTACCACTCCCATTTATGGAAACCACCATATAATGGACATGTATTTTCCCAGTCATGGTAATTTCGTAGGTAATTTGACCCATCCCCAATTTGGATACAACTACAAACGATGGATAATGATGAAGATATAATGAAGACAACGGGAGTAGGAAAACATGGATACCCTTGGGTTGGATTGATATTTATGGATACGACGGCACTATATAAGGGGATGATGATGGTGATAAAAAAATACTTTACTTCGAGTTATCCCCACCATGACAAATACGTTTTGTTACTGGCAAATCTTCTGGCATTCTACAGGGAACCTACCTGTATCTGACATATCTTCTGGCATTTTATCTGGCATATCTTCTGGCATTCTACCTGGCATATCTTCTGCAATATGTTCTGGCATATCTTCTGGCACTCTATCTGGCATATCTTCTGGCATATCTTCTGGCACTCTATCTGGCATTCTATCTGGCAAATCTTCTGGCATATGTTCTGGCAAACATTCTGGCACTTTATCTGGCATACCTTCTGGCATTCTATCTGACATTCTACCTGGCATACCTTCTGGCATTCTATCTGGCATATCTTCTGGCATTCTATCTGGCCGTTGAGGTCCAGCGGTGCTCACTGAGCTCGGAGGGTCCCAGGTTGAGGTCCAGCGGTGCTCACTGAGCTCGGAGGGTCCCAGGTTGAGGTCCAGCGGTGCTCACTGAGCTCGGAGGGTCCCAGGTTGAGGTCCAGCGGTGCTCACTGAGCTCGGACGGTCCCAGGTTGAGGTCCAGCGGTGCTCACTGAGCTCGGAAGGTCCCAGGTTGAGGTCCAGCGGTGCCCAGTGCGCTCAGACCCTTGCAGTTGAGGTCCAGCAGTGCCCACTGCGTGCGGAAGTTGGCGAAGAGCTTGGCGAAGAGTTGGCAAGGCAGAAGTGAACATGGAAGTGGAGGCAGAGGTGGTGGAGGAGGAGGACGAGGAGGAAGAGGAGGAGAAGGAGAAGAACAACTCTGATAAAATCTAACAACCCTCACCTGGCAGGTGGGGAAAAACTACAAAAGATGGATTCTAGGGTATATCTTCATGGAATAGTAATGGCAAATAATGGCAATATCTTCAGAATATATTGTTACATCCATTTGATAGAGAACATAGAACCAACAAAATGGAATACACTGAACACATCAAAGGATAATGGCCACAAGATTCAGATACAACTATATTGGGAGATGTTCATGGAATATATTGACATATTCACATGGGAATGTAATGAGGTCCATGCACTCTCCAGCGGCTACAACGCTGGCTACGGTGGAAAGAGCGCAGACATTTGATCCCGTGGCATTTGCTCCCATGAGCTGATTTGTGGGCGGTACCCCTTTCGAGGGAGGACACCGCGGGAAACCAGGCAGGGTATAACCATCAACCAGATGAAGAACAAGATATTAGCTGGGCCAGATCCAGCAGATCCTGACCTGAATGCGTCTCGTAATTATGTGGATGTAACTATATTAGTGGATTCTAGGGAGTATGCTCATGGAATGTTGATGGGAAAAAATGGGATACTGCATTGCCCTCCGGTGTCATCAAAAGTGGTGCGCTGGAAAATCCACCATTCATATCCTTTCGTATAGCTATCTATTTACACATCTATATGTACATATATATATATATATAATATATCATATATATATATACACCATATATATAATTATATGCAGAGAGAGACAGAGAGAGATGGTTTTCCCAGCTATCAAACTCCATTCGGGTCGGGTATGTCCCCGCGAACCACCCTTGATTGCCATTTTGGGGGAATCAAACATGGCTGGGAAATCCCCGATCTACCCTCTGGTAGACTAACATAACTATGGAAAATCACCATTTTTACTCGGTAAATCGACTATTTCTATGGCAATGTTCAACAGCAAAGTGTTAGTCATAACCAGGCCGGGTAAATCCCATTAAATTACCAGTAAATTTTAAATCCCATTAAATCACCATAAATCACCATTAAAATCCATTAAATCACCATAAATCACCATTAAAATCCATTAAATCACCATAAATCACTATATAGTCCCATGAAATCCCATGAAAAATCACCATTAAAATCCAGTCAATGGAAGTTTCCTTTGCTGGGACAGTCATCAAACGATGGTGGATTTTCCAGCCACGTTGACACGGGATGGTATTTGTTTGCCCATAGATTTGGTGGGTTACCCTCTGGTTATGTCAAAATAGCTATTGAAAATGGTGTTTAATGGGACTTTTTCTGGTGATTTAATGGGATAGCCATTGAAAATGACCCAGTCGAAATAGTGGATTTACCCAGCTATAAAATGGTGGAATTTTCCATAGCTATGTAAACGTTTACCAGAGGGTAATTAATAGAGGGTCCCCGCATTCAACAACCGGCATAGCATAGAAAACCGGCCCCTCTCTCCGGAAAGGACAGTCTTGTTACCATTTTGATTCGGTAATAATGTGGGTAACACAATGCCATAAACTATCCCCCCAGTTATCACCATTGTTATAGGTGGTATGTGCCCCATTTCCAGTCATGGGTGGTAAACATGGCATTGTTTTACCCACATTCCAATTATTAACCATTATTAATCATTATTAACCATCATTAACCACTATTAACCAGTATCCAACACTATTCAACACCATTAACCCACACTAAAACTCACCATTTTTTTCTGTGCATTGAAGTTCGGCCATGGTTGTGGGGGCAACGCCCATGGTGCCAAGCTACGCAAGTTTCATTCCTTGGTTTGCTTGGTTTTGGTACGTTATCCTTAGGGTAAAGCTTTACAAAGATGTGGAACATTCATTGTAGGAACATGATCTATAAATGGTTGGGTTTCCAAATCTTAGTTTCACCTAGGGTGTTTGTAATATTGTTGGCCATAAATCTGGGAATCCAATGTGCCTCTAAGAAATGACACTAATTCCAGAGGGTCAGACTGATGTTGCTCATTTTCTAGTAGATCAATATCCCGTTTCTTCGTGGGTTTTGCCATAAATTGATACCCTTTGTGGGGACTGACCATTCTTGGAGAATTCCTTGGACATGCATTGTTTGAATTGAAACATCATGTGTTTGCCAAGTTTGAATGTGTTTGCCAAGCTTGATAATTATGCTATCTCCATTTTCGGGGCATCTAGCATTCCTCCAGACAATATAAATATTACCATTGTTTGGGGCTGGAAGACTACTTTTCCTCTAAATTCTGACGGTCTAAGCGACCCTTTTGTAATTCAACATAGCTATGCAAACATGAACCGTTTATAGATAATCTAATCTACCTATATATCTACTTAAAATGACGATTTTCCATAGCGTTAAATATCACCAGAGGCCTGGTCGTTCGGATGATTCGAGACCCTTTTTTTGCCTGGAAGCCTGGAAGGTTTGATGCCAGTCCTGATGGAGCTCTTTACTTTCTCAAGTGCCTTGATGGTCTTTGTTTCTCGGCGAAAAGGTCGGCTGAGGCTGAGTTTCCCGAAAATTTGGCAAAGAAATATGGGAATCGATGAATGGTGATTTTAACACATACCCTCTGGTAATGACTAACATAGCTATAGAAAATCACAATTTTTTAATGGGAAAACTCACTATTTCTATGGCCATTTTCAATGGCTATGTTAGTTTACCAGAGGGTACAAAAAAATGATCGACATTTTGAAACATGCAAAAAACACAAAAAAAAACATTGAATATTAAGCAAACAAAATAAACATAATTGCCAGATTGTATTTAGAAAAAACACAAATAAAAACAATTGAGTATGAATCCAATCATATATTTTCCCAGTAAAAAAAAATGCAAACTAGCTAATATTGTCGAGCTAGCCATGTTAAATCCATAGAGCCATTTATAAGTACAGTATATACATACAATGAAAGCGGAAACCCATGCAATTCATAGTATTTAGTGGTTCATCCATGCTGTTATACACTAAATTGACAATTTATTATTGACATTTATTGACATTATACAATACTAACCCATGTATTTTCATATCTAAATGTCAATTTAGTGGTTCATCCATGTTGTAATCATATGAGAAAACCAACAAAAACAAACATACGGTAAAGAAATCCTGCACCAGTTGGTAGATGGTTTATCCAAGCTTATCCGATTCCAATCCCATTATTTACAGTGTTTCGTTGGTACCTAGTAGTTC